TTTACAGCACTCATCTTTATCGTTTTTTCAAATATGCCGAAAACCGTGATGTAGCAAAACAAGTAAATTATTGTGCTGAGTGCTCTTTCAACTTTCTTTTGATAAAGTAGAGGTACTTCATATTGCATAAAACAGAAGTCATTGAAACACAGTTGGTTATGCATTAATTTGCATATTTTTAGGTTCTAAAGGAACGTGGCCTTAAAAAGATTCGGCTTGGTATGGAAGGATACCCAACCCACAAAGAGAAGATAAAAAGACGTTTTAATAAAGCCGAAGGTATGTTAAATTTTCCTGTATGATGGTGTCTCGAATTTAATGCATAAAATGTGGAAGGCAGATTTTTATTATTATCAGTATTGAAATAAAAAATATTTATTGTAAGTTTATTTTCAGTTATTTATAATTACGTCCAACGGCCATTTGTTCATTGTTCATGGGAAAAAGAAGAAGCACGTTCACGTCATGTTGATTTCGCATGTCCTATCGTGAAAAGCAAGTCCAATCCAAGTTTGGCAAGTGCTGCAAGTGATCCTATTCCACAAGTGAGTGAAGAGTTTTTTATTCATTTTACAACTGAGAAAATAAGGTAGTAGTTGATTAAATGGAGTTGAATTCAAGTTGCAAACACTCTTCTTACAATAAGTTTATCTTCTAAATTATATACTTAAGGAATTAAGATACTTTTAATTATAATAATAGGACTAGTCATAATCATTTAAAGATATCACTGAGATGTCTTTCAGTTAAATTATATTGAAACGCTTCACTATTCAAAGTGATAAATTGGCTTAGCTTTTTCTGAAACGTAAAATATACTGTTTTTTTTTTTTTCAATATCTTAGTGATTTCAAAAGCAGTCTATGAAATTTTTTCTTTAGCCAGCACCTTTGCAACTGAGTGTAGCAACTACTGCATCTGGCACTGGAAATGGGCCATTTAATTTGCCAATTGTGCAGCATCCAATATTTTGTGGTACTAGTGCTACACATTTTGCACATCGTTTAACTGGCCAGGTTTGTTAGCCGTTTTTTTTCAAGTAGTTTAAAGGAAAACGTGCTTGATTTTCATTCGCGCATACAGCATATTTATTCATCTTTTATTATTCAAGAAGGGTAGGAACAAAAAGGGAAACATTGTATTTGGCTGTACTGCGACTTGTAGCAATGTATATTGAAATATATAAGTGGCACATATTTTATTTTATAGTACATATGCAAGTACAAAGCTATTTTTATTTATCATTAAGTTGAAACTTGTTGATGCTATTTGTTCGCATTACTAATTCTTGATTATTACTTGCAGAATTTACATCCTCTTCACTCACCACCAGTGCAAAATGTTAGGTCAACTTCGGCGACAGTGGGGACGGAAAGTTCTCAAACTTCTTCATCAAGTGGTTCAAATCATACTATGACAAGCTAATGAAAAACGTTATTACGAGCATTTTCTCTTCCTTATTCATATTATTTATTGTATCTAATGCTTTCCGATGCTTTGTTTACAGCTACCTAAATAACTAGTGATGATGCTGAATGATGCTAGATATTATTAACTGCAGATAGGAGAATAGGTAAATTAAAATATATGAAACTAAGGTGGCTTTTTTCTGATCGGTTTATTCGTTAGTCTGTATGCTGAATATTCTGCTCTTTGAAATTTAATGCGGGTGCTTAGGTTGTAGCATCCTTTATCATGCAATAATGCATACCGTTAATCGATAGTTATGAAATACATTATGATCTTAATTACAGCTCCTTGAAGTTTTGGTTTTTCTTAATTGTTTTTGATTCTATAAACTTGCAATCGAATTGATTTTATCGAGTAAAGCTGTCTAAAGAAAATGAAAAAATGAAGGAATTAAATGGATATCTTTTGTGTATTGCAGCTAATCTTAGGTACAATTTGTTATTTGCAGCTTATAAATTGTCAGTTTTGATGTGTTGCGGTTTTAATATTATTCGATCGATCAAACTTTGTAGATTTCATTCCCGTTTTTTTTTTTTGTTTTATAAATACTATTATATGCAGTCTATTGCTATGAATTTGGATCAGTCCAATATGTTTGTTTATTTTCTGTTCCTATTTTTGGCCAAGTCACTTCCATATTTGTTGCTTGATCAATTTTAATACTTCTTTCTATGATATTAAAAAAGGATTTACTAGCTTTTTGGCATCATAGAAAAAAAAGAACAAAATAAACACTTTGCTTCATCACTATTTGTTTTTATTTTTTAGAAAACTATGTCATTCGGAAATGTGTGTTATTCATTTGCATGTTTGCAGTGTTATTAATGAAGTTTTGTTTTTAATTGATAAGAATTGTTTATTTAGCTATGATTTTTGCTTTTAGTTGAATTGCAGTAATTTGAGGTCATCATGTATATTTGGTGAAGTTGTATGATGTTGGTATTTATACTTATTTTATTGCTGCAACTATAATTATTGTTATTGCTACAACTATTATTATTCTTAGGATTGCTAAGATGTTTGATTAACTAGGCATTTTTTTTTTACTCTTATAAGAAAGTTCGATCTTTGTTGTATTGAATTTATAGTTTTATTTTTCTTTTTGCTGTAGACAGTTTGAATGGAATTACTTTATCTGTAAAAAATTTAGTTTCGAATTTTATTTGACATATATATATATATATTGTAGTTTAATTATTGTTCTATTGATCAAATTAATGATGGATTATTGCAATGGAATAAATTTCAGCCAAACCAAGAAAGAATACCTAGAAGGTGATTAGCTAGCTGCGCTTCATATATGTTTTTTGATAAACAACATTTAACTTATTTTGAAAATTTTGGAAAAATTGGTAGGATTTTTTTATTCTTAGCAAAGATTCAAATTTTGTGTTTTTAATTCATTTAATTTATTTCTAATTGTTAAAAATTTTAAATGAATGAAAATTTTTAGAGATGCATATTTTTCGATTTGCTATATATATATATATTACTTTCGATTTTGGTAAAAAATGAAGTAAAATAAATGCGAAAAGTCTATGAGGAGACTTTTTTTCCAGTACCAATTCGGGAAACCTTAGAGTTTTGCAGCTGTCCGCATGAATTCAAAAAATTAGGAACATCTGGAAGGCAATCAGGAAAATATATGTGCTTAAAATTTAAACCACGAAAAGCCTAAAAAATTTTCAGTGCTTGAAATGGTAGTGTTTGCCTAGTGCAACAATGGGTAGGCAAGTTGCCGTCTATTCTGTCATATTTCTGCCCTGCAACATTGCGTGTACAAAATCTCAGAGCAGAACAAAGTTTAATGAAATGTTTTCATTTATTAATGGAATGACTTAACGGTTACACAATATTCTCTTGTAAACATTTTTTAATGAAATGCTATAATCCGGTAGTTATGTTGGAAATGAGACATCAATAAACTGATGACTCTAGAAATGAAGTAGAATTGATCATTGATTGTAAAGCTCACAGCGAGTGGTACAGTTTCTAATGCAATTTCCTGATTTGCAAAGAAAGGAATAAAAAGCTTAAGGCATGAATAAGTGAATGGGTTCCAATTTTCACAGATAAGCTTAAAATTTGAGAATTGTTGAGGCCGGAAATATTCGAAAAATTACAAAGTTTTGCACTTCCCAATATTTGAAATACCACACACCATCTTCTAAAAATGCATTATGCAATTGATGCTTATCATTCTTTGTTGAATTGTAGTAGGTAACTAAAGGTTAAACAAGGTGGGTCACTGTATTCTGTTACGCATCCATTATTTCTAGGTCATCATTCTCAATTAATTGCCTATTCTAGTGCTTGATAAAATTTTGAAATAGTCGTGCAAGTTATATTTTAAAAAAAAAAGTGCTCGGGACTTTATTAATTTTGAAAGTTATTTTTTGGAAAATACGAATTATAATGTAAAAAAAAAACAATCTAAGCATTAATATATTTTGTTTTTGTGAAAAAATAGTTTAAAAAATTGTGACTGGTATTTACCATCTTCAATCATCATTCTTTTATTACATTGTAATATTGAAGCATTACTAAAATTAGAAACTTTGATGTGAAAACAAGTTGTACTTTCGAATATTTCATCACAATTTTATATTAGAAAGGAAATTTAGCAGTGATATTAAAGGTGTTCACTAAAAGGTAACTCATAAATTCCACAAAGATTTAAAGTTGATCATTTTGACTACATCTTTTCTGATTAATCATTAAAGAAAAGTTGCATTCACACATAAATTTCAATTCAATATGAGATATTTTGAAAAGGCAATGGTTGAAGATAAAATGGCACCGGTTTGCGCCTCACTATATATATATATATATATATATATATATATATATATATATATGTACGTTTTATAATTTATATTCTTTGAAATTTAATTTACAATTTTCAATTTTTTTTTTATTTAAACAGAAAAAAAGGAAGTAAAGATTCAAATACAAAGTCCTGTGAAATCAAAATAATAATACAAATAACAATACAAACCTGTTCGAAAAGGGTATTCTTGCCATCTAATCAATCTGCAGGAATAACTGTAATGAAAAATTGAGATCCATTGGTATTCGGACCTGCATTTGCCATTGAAACCATGCAAGGTTATTCGCCTAAGTTTGGGATGAAATTCATCCTTAAAATTTTCACCCCAAATGGATTGACCACCAGTTCCTTTACTGGTAGCCAACCTAAAAATATCTGCAGTGAGAAACGAATAAATCTGACATTAGATTAACAAAAAATTAGAGAAAAAAAAAATGATCTATACGGAATAATTTAAAATAGTATTTTTTTTTTCTGTAATTGTACTGTTTCCAACTATACTGGCTGCAAAAAAAAAAAAAAAAAAACTCGTTACTTTAAAAAAAAATTCAACAAGACTTCCTTATATAAATTCTTACCGTAACCGCCTGCCAGTAAAACTTAAGACGAAAATATTGACTGTAAGTTAGAGAATATTTCTTTAATGACAAAAGTAAAAGAGTGATCATTGGCGATCACTTGGAATATTCTGGCTACTTTGATGTCATCAAACATTTCTGGAAAATTCCTTTGCTCTACCCTTCTTGTGAAATCATTCACAGGAGGTATTACTGACTGAGTAAGTTTTTGGCACGGATTTTGATGTTTTGCTCGTCGTAGTATTCTCTAACTTATATCAATCGACATTTTTCTCTTTTGCATCTTTAAGGTTTACTGGTTTTTTAAATACGCTTATAAGCCACTCATTTATGTAATAAACATATTTTCATTTAAAATTATGTAAATTATTATTAAAGAGATTATTATTAAACATTTGTTGGTTTTTTCTTTCTTTCTTCTTTATTATTTATACCTTTGTCCTATGTTCCATTAGTGGCAAAATCGTCTACGGGATCTGTTCCATTTGTTATATTTTTGTTTTTCGTTTCTTACAGTTTATTTTCTTATTTAATTTTCAGTATCATTTGTTTTCTTAGTGAGGAAGAATGTGAGAAATGGGAGCCTGGTTGTCATGGCGCTATGCTTTTTACAATACATTGTGGAAAAAAAAATGAATTATATATTCCGGAAATTGCTGCCGTGCTAGGAATTCCAAACTTTTGGCGAAACTCCGGTCTTTTTTTTTCTTTAATTTTTGATTTTTATTATAGATTTCTCTCTTAGTGATGACGAAGTTTCTCCTGCTGATGTTCTTGTTTCATTTGTGGCTTTGTCTCAACGATCACTATTCATTTGGAAGTTGGTCTAGAAAAGTCTCACTTGACGAATGATGACGCTGGCAGTGGAGGTGGTGATGAAAACAACGACGAGCAAATAATTTCAACTTTAAATGTAGATGTTGAAGATGATGGGTATCTTTTATACCTTGAAGCTTAGTATTCTTTTTTCTTTTTTTTTAAATTTTGAGTTGTAATGAATTTTTACAACTTTATTCTTGAGCTAATAGTTTTCTTCTGACTCTTCTCAATGAATCATAAGCAGATGTATTACAATGGTCTTTTCATTCGATTAACTATGTTGGCTTCCTTTCAGTCTGATCTTCATGTTTTTGTGCAGTTCGTGATCATATAGAATCTCTAGAAAAAGCTCTTCAAGGTTTTGTATTTTAGAAACAGTGTAGCAAATGGTGATAAAAGACAGCAGAAATCGGAAAATCTGGCTTTATATCGCCACTGGGAAGGTCTAAGTCTAAATTTTGAAAAACAAGCGGAAAATTTCCAAAAAAGGGTTGAAAGAGGAAAGAGATCGAACAGATGCCGAAATGCGGCAGTTACGTAAGTATTACTATTTCAAATCATTCATACTGAAATTTCTATTTCTCTCTCTCTCTCGCCTTGTCTTTCTCTCTCCCCTAGAAATCCATAGTTCAAAAATCTCTTTTAAATAATTCATGTATTTATTAATGTTTGCGATCAGTTGCTCAAAATGATTATTATGGTAAATTATTTCTATAAATTGAAGATGAACGGGTTGCCAGCTCGCTTTTTTCATTTTTTTTTTTTTTTTTTTTTTTTTTGACATCGAAGCATTAAATTTTGAACCAATTAACTGATGAAATGTAAAAAATATCGCAAAATTAATAATTGATAATTGAAGTTTTACCATTTGATCTTTCTCTAGTGGAAACATAAAAATGAAAAAAATTTAGACAAAAGAATATAATCAAATTTAAGAACTAAAGGATGCAACTTCTCCAATATTAAGTTTAGAAATAAAGTGGCGGAATTTTTTAAGTATTAACTTTAGAAAAAAAAAACTTAAATTTTCTGAACAGTAAGGTTGGGAAAAAAAATGAAATTTTCTGGATAGTAAATTTAAAGTAAAAAAATCGAATTTTCCGAAATCGAATTTTCGGGTATCATTTACCTAAAGAAACGGAATTTCCGGTATAATTCGTAATAAATTTTCAGATGAAAAAGCATTAGTTAAAAGTGCAAAAGATCTCAAATTTATTTTTCATGCACGAACACCACAATGTGTTTATTTTAAAGCTATAATTATTCCTTTTTTTTTCAATTTGAAAATTTTAATTTATATAAATTTTAAAAATTTTATTAATAAAATTTTGTTAGTTATTGAAATTTTTTTTTGTTAATAGATGGGTAAGCAAGAGAAGTATGATATATTACATATATTAGAATTTACAAGTAATCGAAAACGAATGGGTGTTATTGTACGATGTCCAGATAGGAAGTTAAAATTATACATTAAAAGAGCTGTAAGTTAAATTATTAAATGTTTAATTTTTAATTATTCATTTCTTTCTTCAATTTATATTACATTTTTATTTGTTCATTTTAGGATAATGATTAAATTTTAGGATAGCGTTATTTTTCCACGATTAGCGCTAAATTCTGATAAGTATTCAGTTAACAAAACAGCAGAACATTTGGTGTATTTTGCTAATCTTGGTTTATCTTTCCTGTCTCTCTCTTTTTCTCATAAATTATTATATTTTAAAATTATTTCTATTTGAATAATTTATAATTAAATTAAAACATTAAATTTAATCAAAAAAAAAGTGAAATTTAGGTTTACGTACGTTGTGCATGGCAATGTGTATTCTTAGTGAGGAAGAATATGAGAAATGGGAGCCTGGTTGTCATGGCGCAAGTACTGCGCTTGAAAAACGTGAAATGGTGATTGATTGAAGAGGAAGCGGAAAAAATTACAATGCAATAAGTCTAAATTCCGAATAATTTAATTTAGTTAATTAGTTATTTTGAATAACTAGCTAATTTAACCAATTGTGAATTTATATGATAATAAAATTGAAAAAAATTAGCTCAAATGTAACAATTTTCATTTTTGTTTGCAATAATTTTATAAATTGCAGAATCTTGAATTACTTGGTCTATTGAAGCTATTGAAGATAAGTTACAGAAGGTGATAAATTCATTATAGTGATAAATTCATTTATAAACAATTTTTTTTGATAACAGTTATAATTAAAATTAAATTTACAAATCATTTTTGTAAATTCTACAAGAGGCGAAGAATGTCAGAAAAAAGACTTATTAATTAATTTTTTTTTATGACGTGATTTTGTTGAAATATATAAATTGATTAACAATTTATTTATATATTTACATTTGTATATTTTGATGAAAAGAGTTAGCATCAAATGCACTGGTTTTAAAAAAAGAAAAGTGATAGTATATTGGATTTTTAATGAAGTAATTAGAAATCTAAAATGATTAAATTTAGAAAATATCAGGAAGACAATTGCAAGGTGTCAAGAAAACAGTCGAACATTTGACTGAAGGTGGTATTGTAGTTTGGGATTTTAACAGGTGATAAATTAGAAATAGCACAAAGTATTGGCTATTCATGTGGTTTAAATTGATCCATTCACACCCATTTTGGTATATTTCGAGTTATTTAATTTTATTTTAATGTTGAAAATTTCATTCTCAACAAAAATTGTAAATAAATTTATTAAATTTAAGTAAATTCAAATTGTAAATAAACTATTGATAAATCAATGAATGAAATTTTTTTCACTTACAAATTTATCATATGAAATTAATATTATTATTTAAGCAAAAAAAAAGATTAAATTATTATTTAAATATTACAAAGAGCAATTCAATTTGATTATTTAGGTACTTGGCGAAAAAAATGCCGAAGAAACAGCTAACAAAATTAACATATATCTTGATAATTTTGCAAATAAAAAAAATTAAAATTTCATTAATTGTTAGTGGCGAGGTATGTTACAATGTAAAAATTATTCAGTTTAAAAAATACAAAAATGAAATTTTTTTTCTTCATTTATTCTATTTAATTTTTTATTTGATTTTTTTTTAAAATTTTTGCTACTTAATTTTTTAACATACATTATGATTTATGGTAGAAAAGTAGGATGAAAATGAGAATAAACATAAAGAATTTTAAAAAATTTCGAAAAAAAAAAAGTGTACACAAATAAAATCGTTTCAGTTTGAAAGGAAAAAATAATAATTTCAACTATTTAATAAATATATTATCAATGTAATTAATTTACAGAGTCTTAATCATGCTTTAATGAAGCAATATAAAATGCAATTTTTACACCTGGCTTCTTTATTATCAACGGTTATTTGTTGTCGTTGTTCACCGCATCACCGCAAAAGGCCTCTGTTGTAAAAGCATTAAAAAATTGGTCCGATGGTACGGTACTAGCAATTGGCGATGGTGCTAATGATGTAGCAATGATACAGGTGAATAATTAACAATTAGTTTTTTAATATGATAAAAGCATGCAGAGAAATTTATGAAAATTTTTCAAAATTTATTCTAATCAATAAAATATTAATAATGAAATTATTTAAAAGTTTATAAAATTTTTTTTATGTTTTTTTTTTTTTTTATTTTACTTTATTTGTAGTAGTATTTTTATTGTAGGAAGCTGATATTGGTGTTGGAATAAGTGGTGAAGAAGGTTTGCAAGCATCACTTGCAGCTGATTACTCTATTGCACAGGTTTCTCGTGTTTGCTTTTTATCATGATTATCTATCTCTACCATAATTATCCATCGTAATCAATTGTTATTAACTATAACAGTTTGATATGATGATATTTCAAAAATATATTATAAAAATTTTCATATGTTTGAAATTTTTTCTTTAAAAAAGAAAATAATAATCGCTTATTTTTGAAATTTAGACTAACTGAATTAATTAATAGTTCTATTACTTTTACTAAATAATTTTAGTAAATGATTTTTTTTTTCTTTACTAAATTTTACTAAACAATTTTTTACTACCTAAAAAAATTTTTTTTAGGTTAGGAAATGAAATAAAACTTTTCAATCCAAATTGTGCTTTTGCGTTTTTAGTTTCGATTTCTGGAACGTCTTGTATTTGTTCATGGAGCTATTAATTATCATCGTATCACAAAAACCATTTTATACTTTTTTTACAAAAATATTGTTCAAACTCTAACAATGGTGAAGTGTCTATTTCATTAGTAATAAATAAGTAATAAAATTTTTAATGGTAATTAAAAATTTTGCTATTTTTACTAAGTGATAGAGTTGCTTTTGAAAGTAATTGATTAATTTATTAAAATTTTGCAGTTCTTTTATGAATTTCATACATTATTTGTTGATGCGGCAATAATGGATAGTTGGTCGCTGGTAATGTTTAATAAATTTTTACTAGTTGGCCATCTTTGGCAGTTGGTATTTGGGATCGATTATTCCCATTTGAAATGATGATCGATTATCCAGCACTTTATCATTTATCACAGAATAGTGAAGGATTTTCGCTTAAAGTATAACTTTTTTACTCAAAATTTCAATTTTTTTTTTCAATTTGTTTTTAAATTTTTGAAAATTTATTCTTCATTTTTACTGAAATTTTTAGAATTACTGGAAAATCCAATATCATTTACATACTTAGATAACTTTGTCAAACTTTTCACTAATTTATATAAGTACTTAAAAAGTTTACCTGACAACTATATATGTCGCGAATTATAATTTCGCGAAAAACTTTTAACTGTCACGAAATATTTAAATTATTATATCCAAAACTAACAAATTCCTCTTATCTAATTCCTAAATCTAATTTACATTTACAAAATTCATCTCACACCAAATGATTCAATTTCCGAATATTTTTGCATTTGTAATTCAGCTATGACTCATACTAATCTATTTCCTGCTTTCATACAATAAAACTAATCTTGTTAAATAGCGATAAGATGTGATAAAAATAATTAACACCTGCAAAACTGTTTAGGGAAATCATTACATTGTTAACAATCTTGTTTTTTCATCCATAGAAATTCTTCCATCTAATTTCCATTCATTAAATCAGTCTTATATATAAACCAACCAATCCTTCTATAACCATCATTTGCTTTATGTGGTATTAGGATGCGTCTAATACTTTATAATTTCGTATTATTTCACCATTTTTATATTATTGCATTTTATATAGTTTACGTGTTTGTTAATCGGTGTAGCATCCGTACGATATGTATAAAGCGCTATTATTTGCCTCATGTTAAATAAAGGTTTAATTACCCAAGTTTGAGGTTTATTAATCTTCCTACTGTATTGCAACAATTCGAATATCAACCAACAGACAACCTTTCACGACAATATATGCTCAATTTTGGAGCTCTAATGTTCGTTTGTAACAGTGTAGATCCAGATATAATTACCAGTGTCGAGCAGCCTATTCCGCAAAATATTTTGTTATGTCTGTTGAATCAGTTGGCAACAAAACTGGATGAAGAAACGGATCTCAAATTTAGGTGCGGCATTTATTTTTTCATATAAGAGATCCTCGCTTACTTTTCGTGCTAGGAAAATAGTTGTGTGTTAAACGATTAAAATCTTGAGAAATGTACAGTTACTCACAGCTGATTTGCCAATTCCATAGTTACTATTTGATTTTTTCCAAATTTTTACAGATATATCGAAAATGTGTTAATGGTATAGGGATCCTACCACTGCTGGTAGCTACCGCCATGTTTTAAATCGATTACAAACATGTTTAACAGGTGAACCAGGAGAATAATAGAAAGTAAGCAAGTGTGCGTGGTGAATATTGTGCATTACAACATAAGGATCATAACTTTATAAAAACAAATCACAGCAGCAATTTGTGCAATTACTTGGTTTTCAACATCTCGTGCAAGTATAATCAGCGAATTTTGAAGTTTCACTTCTTTCCCTTCAATAATGTGACGGCCAATATGAAGTAAATGCTTGGAAAAGAAAAATATTAATTGCTTACTTTATTTTACTGTAAGTGTTTAAGTCATGAATGTAAATGTCCCATTACAGCTTTTTTTTTTTTTTTTTTTTTTTTCAACGATACAAAATTTGGTAGTGATAGTATAAAATTTAATACAACTTTGAATGTAACTTATATTCTTGAACTTATTTATTTGGAAAAAAGGAAAACTTGCCGTTTAAGTTTTGGGATAGTATGCGGGTTGAGGTGTAAAAAGGTTTATTTCTCGTTATGATCTAGCGGGAAGTAAGTCATAAAAAATTCTGGATTTTCGGTCTTATCAGTTCTTGATACCGTTCATTGTTTGCTGCCAGTATTGCAAACATGCTCCCTTGGAGAACAGTGAGCTCAGTTTTCCGCTCCCTCTCCTCCTCCTTTCCCTTTCTCCCTCCTCTTCCCTCTATCTCCTCTTTTGCTCTCTCCTCTTTTCTGCCCTCTCATTCCCTCCTCGCCTCTTTCTCCCCTTCCCTATTTCTCTCCCTTTTCTCCCCTCTCCCTCCTGTCCTCTTACTCTCGCCTCTCTTTTTCCTCCCTTCTGTCCTCTTAGTCCCGTCTCTCTTTTTTCTCCCCTTCCTCCCTTCTGCCCTCATAGTCCCGCCTCTCTCTCTTCTTTCCTCTTTCCCTCCTGTCGTCTTGCTCCCGTGCTTCCCTCTTCTCCTCCCCATCTCTGCCTTTTCTCCCCTTTTCCCTCTTCGTCTCTCACTCCCTCCTCTTCCCCTTTCTCTCCTCTCCTCTTTCCCCCTTCTTCTCTCCTTCCCTTTTGACCTTATAATCTCGTCTCTCCCTCTTCTCCCCTCTCATCCTCCTGTCGTCTTGCTCCCGTTTCTCCCTTTTCTCCTCTTTCTCTCTCTTCCCCTCTCTTCCTTTTAGCGGGAAGTAAGTCATAAAAAATTCTGGATTTTCGGTCTTATCAGTTCTTGATACCGTTCATTGTTTGCTGCCAGTATTGCAAACATGCTCCCTTGGAGAACAGTGAGCTCAGTTTTCCGCTCCTTCTCCTCCTCCTTCCCCTTTCTCCCTCCTCTTCTCTCTACCTCCTCTTTTCCTCTCTCCTCCCTTCTGCCCTCTCCTTTCTCCTCACCTCTTTCTCTCCTCCCCTCTTCTCTCCTCTCTCTCCTGTCCTCTTACTTTCACCTCTCTTTCTTCTCCCCTTCTTCCCTCCTGTCCTCTTAGTGCCGCCTCTCCCTTTTTTCTTCTCCCTCCCTCCTGTCCTCTTACTCTCGTCTCTCCCTCTCCTCCTCTCCATCTCTCCTCTTTCTCCCTCTTCGTCTCTCACTCCCTCCTCCTTTCTTTCTTCTCTTCTCCTCTCTCCAAAGAGGAGGTAGAGAGAAGAGGGAACATGTTTGCAATACTGGTAGCTAACAATGGACGGTATCAAAAACTGATGAGATCAAAAATCCAGGATTTTCTATGACTTACTTCCCGCTAGATCATAACGAGAAATAAATCTTTTTACACCATTAATGTTATAGTATAGAATTTTCCTGAACAAATTTGTGGAGATTGAAATAGCTGAATTCCACTAGTGGGTGAACCTGCGGAAGGATCATTATCGTGCTTCAAAAAAAAATACCACAACAATGATTGATTTATTATTATAGCTACCATATATATACTTCTTAGAGGGACAAACGGTGTTTAACTGCATGAATTGAGCAATAACAGGTCTGTGATGCCCTTAGATGTCCAGGGCTGCACGCGCGCTACACTGGAGGAATCAGCGTGCTGTAACCATTACCGAAAGGTATTGGTAACCCCTTGAAAATCCTCCGTGATCGGGATCGGGAATTGCAATTATTTCCCTTGAACGAGGAATTCCTAGTAAGTGTGAGTCATCAGCTCACGTTGATTACGTCCCTTCCCTTTGTACACACCGCCCGTCGCTGCCCGGGACTGAGCCGTTTCGAGAAAAGCGGAGACTGCTGTTTCAATACCTTTCAAGGGTAGAGATTCTTTGGTGGAAACTGCTTTAATCGCAGTGGCTTGAACCGGGCAAAAGTCGTAACAAGGTTTCCGTAAAAAAAAGAAATAATACAACAATGATTGATTTATTATTATTATAGCTACCATATTATATTATGATACTATATTAACAACATATTGTATGTGTTACTAATAGATTGATGTTAATAATTTTAATATGGTAGTAGCTTAAATAATAATAATAATATGAATAAACGGTGATGTTCGTTGGTGTCTATACTTTATCCAAGTTATCGCCTAAGCGTCGATAACAATGTAGATAAAGCGATAGCTTAATTAATTTTCCATTTAATTAAGTAGGCTTAATAAGCATTTATGCTAGATATGCTACCAACAAAAAAAGAAAAAAACATACACAAATTGTATATATATACATATATATATTATAGTAATAACAATAAAATTTTTTTAACTCTTAGCGGTGGATCATTTGGCTCATGGATCGATGAAGAACGCAGCTAGCTGCGATAAATAGTGCGAATTGCAGACGCATTGAGCACAAAGATTTCGAACGCACATTGCACCATTGGGTTGATTCCCCATGGTACGTCTGGTTGAGGGTCAATTAAAAGTAATAATTGTATTTGCATTGATTTATATTTATTATTATCAAATAATTTTCATTCAAACAAGATTATTTTTCTTTATGCAAATAATTTTTGTTTGTTTATTAAAAGATTATTTGATGATGATGAATGAAAAAAGATGATTGAATCAATGATTAGATACAAAATGCATCAGGTGATTTGTAACAGAGAGTGAGAATGAAAAAATCTCAAAATGAATCCCCTGATAAGTAATAGATATGAGTGATATTTTTAACTTATTGAATATATATATTAAAAAGTAATCTTTCATGAATAAATATTCATAAATAATAAAGAAAGATTACAATTATTCATTTATTATGCATTGATTTACTTTATTGTTTGTTTGTTTCGTTGTTAAATGTTTCAAATTAAAATGCAAGTTGTTTGAAACATTAAAATAAACAAACGAGTAAAGGAAAAAATTAGCATATATGTGAATGACAATTTCAATATGTTTTATATCATTTTTTTGACCTCAACTCAGTCGTGATTACCCGCTGAATTTAAGCATATAACTAAGCGGAGGAAAAGAAACTAACGAGGATTTCCCTAGTAACGGCGAGTGAAAAGGAAAAAGCCCAACGCTGAATCCAATAGATATTATATGGCTATATGGAAATGTAGCGTATAGGTATAACTAACCGTAAATATTTTTACACCCAAGTCCCCTTAAGCGGGGCTACAGTCCGTAGAAGGTGCTAGACCTGTACGGATGAAAAAAGTTACGGTAGGTTATTCCTTAGAGTCGGGTTGTTGGGTTAATTAAAAGTAATAATTGTATTTGCATTGATTTGTATTTATTATTATCAAATAATTTTCATTCAAGTGAGATCCTGTCCTACATTTCGTACCGGTAAAGTAAACATTCTGCCATTCTCAAGCAAACCATTTTTGACGCAATATTTAAAATGAAGATATATAACTTCCAGCTTTTCTTTTCTAATGTTCAGTAGCAACGACGAAGAAGTAGATGGCTTATAATTTCCACTATGACTGAAATACATCAGAATTGCTATCGAGCCGAACGTCCTGCACTGAAAGATTTGATGACATTTATACAAGAATTGTTTTATTTTGCATTTATGGAATAATTGAATTGTATTGAATTGTAAGCATTGCTTTCCAAAATAGCACTACTCATCCAAAGCTTCAGGAAAGCGGGCATTGTTTAATGCAGCTACATCAATAAGGCTTCGCATTTCCATTCAATTGGTGAATTTTCTTTAATATAAGAGAAATCAAAAGATATGAAATGTAAACATCTTCAAATGGACAGAAAAAAGTAGTTCTTTCCATTAGAATCAAAATTGTACAACAAAACTCTGCTAATATCTAACTGTCTGTCATTCAAACATTTATCAAACCATTGTTGCTCATCATCTAGAAATAATGATTACAATAATATCATCCTTGATCTATTATTTTATAATCATTCAACTATCTTTCAATTAATCTTATAGAAATCATTCAAGCGAAAATCATTAATTTATAAATTAGAAAAATTAGTCTTCTTTTGCCGTGAAATAACCAAGAAATAATTACATAAAACCATTGCGGAAATAATTGGAAAGTTCAAATATTTACAATGTTAAGATTCTTGTGTTATTAATAAGTAGAATTCTAATATAAGATTTTGCAGAATGATATAAGTAAATAAGGATATGCATCAATATTCACTTTTTTCCCCCGATCTCTTACTGACCGGTTGGAAAAGTTCGAATTGTTTCGTTTATTTAAAATTAATGGATAATTTCAGTTCGTATTGTAAAGCAAATCAAACATTTTGTTTTTTCCATTTTTTTTTTTTTTTTTTTTTCAAAGAAAGGTCAAAAAATTTTTATCACTTGGAACATTTTAGGAGTCTGCGATCGGTAACCTATTGTATTTCATTTAAACTAACAAAAATAACCATTTTAGGCTGATTGATTTTAAAATCTGAGATGAATAGTTAAAACAAGTTGTATTCCTTGGTGAATTGAAAATATTTGACATGGATCGCCGGTCTTAACTAACTTCATTTTGCAAATTTTCCGGAATGTTGTTTTAATTTTTGCATAATACCTTTCAATAATCATGTCAGAGCACTGCTTGAAAACTTTTAGATTCCTAATTTTCTCACTTTTTTTTGTCTCTTTTCTAAAATAAAGTTTTAATAATAATAACAAATAAATAAATAAATGTGATAATGATAAAAAAACATGAATGAGTTAATCTTATCAATCAGTTGCTGAAATAATCCACACAATATGTTGGCTTTACAAGCAATTATCATCATCACTACATACTCAGTTATACTAGTCATTGTTTATTCCTTAATTTATACCAATTAATCATGATAAATTTGATTAGTTGAAGAGGAATAAATTCAGTGGATTTGTGACAAAATATCTCTATTTGTATTCATATGTGCAATTAAACGGTTCATTATGTTTCCGCTTTCATGTTGTTCAGTATTTCAGAAAATCTTTGGCGAATTCATTAATATCAAAAACTTTTTTTGACATCAAATTGACAGGTTATGAAAACGTTAAATTATACATACATATTGCTTTTTCACTACTCCATATTCTTTTTCTTTTCTCCCTGATCCCGCATTTCAGCTGTATCCACCTCTGGAAACCATTTAATTTCATCATGCACTGGTTGTGTTGTCTGTTTGAAGCGATCTTCCAGGTTACCTTAAGACCTTTTTTGATAGTGCATTTGTTTTAATCATTATTCTGTTTATGAATTACTTTTGGAAATCGATTACACGAAATAATGGGCTGAATTAACAAAAGGCAGCAAAATATATTATTAATCATATGTTTTATCACTACTGATTTTTCATATTACCATAACGGTGAGATTTTTAAATCGGTCGTTTACACGAGACCTTTGCTTATATTTAAAATTTTGCCTATATTTAAAAAAATATATTCGGTTATTTGAATTCGTATTTTTACGTTTACTGTTCAAAAGTTTCTTTTATTGAAATATCAGAATGACCTTCGCTGTTTTTGTACCTTTCATATTTTTGGGTATAAGATGATGCGGTTTCAATAACTAAGCATTATTATAATTTATAAATTACTTTCGTTTATTCAGTGGGGGAATTCGAACAAATGCTAATCTTCACCGCTTCTTTCAAAACATGTAAATTTTGGCAAAACATTATTTACATATAACGATTGAATAAGGTAGGATTACTGTACTGTTTTTAATTGATTGCTCCCATTGCGGATGATTGCCATTAATACTAACAGTGGTTTAAAAATGATGGGTAATATTGAGAGGACCTAAATAATGAAACACATCATGGTCTATTATTACGCTTCCCATAGTAATGATAAAAAAAAGTGTTGCTATTTTATGTCCATTATTGAGGAATACAGCTCGGATTTTAGCATTTTGATGATAAGATGGCCATGTCATGCAATATGGAAACACCGTAGAATATATATCTGAACACGTGAAGTATTTGTGCTAGCAATCTCAAGCTATCTTTTAAATTGCATCTGTTAATCTAGACGATGATAGGTTCTCATGCTACGCTTTGGTGACAAGAATCGTGGGAGCATGCATCACATCTCTTGATATTGACCTAATTAACTTGTAATGACCATTAATCCATGACACTGTTAGATTGTAGATGCTAACAAATACATTGAAAATGACGAATGTTGCATACACATCAAATTTAAAAGTTTTTGGTAATATTTTGAATTGATTGTCTGACGTAAGCCATTCATTTTTTGCATTCTTGCATCGTCAATTATTGACATCGAATCATTGACCTGCAGAAAAAATGGATACAAAGATCGTTAATATTTTTTACCTTTATCCTGCTGCAGCAATTCATAACTTGCATCAAAATATTTGGCGGCGCAATTTTTTGATCAATCTTCAAAGCTATCTTCTATAGTATTGTCTAGGAAAAAAAACTTTCTTACAATATGATTTAACGTTGCAGAAAATTTTCAGTACAACTTACCCAAGCAAATATAGAAGAATCTTCAACGGTGCAAAGTATGTTCATTGATATAAACAACATGACATTTAACTCGCCTATAAATTTTCTATTTTCGTTGCTCTACTTTGTTTTTTTTTTTTTGTTTCGTTAGCCAATTTTCCCAGCAATCAAAATTAGATGCTGCTTAACTTTTTTCTAAAATATTAAAAGGTCTTTGGATTAACGATAAATGAAGCAAGAAACTTACCCATCATTTTTACACCACTGTTAGTATTAATGGCAATCAACCGCAATGGGAGCAATCAATTAAAAACAGTACAATAATCCTGCCGCGGATTTTAACATCTTGAAGCACTAAATAAATGTTAACAATGCTTAATATAGCAATCCACTGATGTCTTTTACAGTTCATCGTAATGGTTTAATTGACTTTTGAGCGATTATTATATTTTTCATTGTACGAAACGTAGCTAACAGTGTCATGGATTAATGGTCATTACAAGTTAATTAGGTCAATATCAAGAGATGTGATGCATGCTCCCACGATTCTTGTCACCAAAGCGTAGCATGAGAACCTATCATCGTCTAGATTAACAGATGCAATTTAAAAGATAGCTTGAGATTGCTAGCACAAATACTTCACGTGTTCAGATATATATTCTACGGTGTTTCCATATTGCATGACATGGCCATCTTATCATCAAAATGCTAAAATCCGAGCTGTATTCCTCAATAATGGACATAAAATAGCAACACTTTTTTTTATCATTACTATGGGAAGCGTAATAATAGACCATGATGTGTTTCATTATTTAGGTCCTCTCAATATTACCCATCATTTTTAAACCACTGTTAGTATTAATGGCAATCATCCGCAATGGGAGCAATCAATTAAAAACAGTACAGTAATCCTACCTTATTCAATCGTTATATGTAAATAATGTTTTGCCAAAATTTACATGTTTTGAAAGAAGCGGTGAAGATTAGCATTTGTTCGAATTCCCCCACTGAATAAACGAAAGTAATTTATAAATTATAATAATGCTTAGTTATTGAAACCGCATCATCTTATACCCAAAAATATGAAAGGTACAAAAACAGCGAAGGTCATTCTGATATTTCAATAAAAGAAACTTTTGAACAGTAAACGTAAAAATACGAATTCAAATAACCGAATATATTTTTTTAAATATAGGCAAAATTTTAAATATAAGCAAAGGTCTCGTGTAAACGACCGATTTAAAAATCTCACCGTTATGGTAATATGAAAAATCAGTAGTGATAAAACATATGATTAATAATATATTTTGCTGCCTTTTGTTAATTCAGCCCATTATTTCGTGTAATCGATTTCCAAAAGTAATTCATAAACAGAATAATGATTAAAACAAATGCACTATCAAAAAAGGTCTTAAGGTAACCTGGAAGATCGCTTCAAACAGACAACACAACCAGTGCATGATGAAATTAAATGGTTTCCAGAGGTGGATACAGCTGAAATGCGGGATCAGGGAGAAAAGAAAAAGAATATGGAGTAGTGAAAAAGCAATATGTATGTATAATTTAACGTTTTCATAACCTGTCAATTTGATGTCAAAAAAAGTTTTTGATATTAATGAATTCGCCAAAGATTTTCTGAAATACTGAACAACATGAAAGCGGAAACATAATGAACCGTTTAATTGCACATATGAATACAAATAGAGATATTTTGTCACAAATCCACTGAATTTATTCCTCTTCAACTAATCAAATTTATCATGATTAATTGGTATAAATTAAGGAATAAACAATGACTAGTATAACTGAGTATGTAGTGATGATGATAATTGCTTGTAAAGCCAACATATTGTGTGGATTATTTCAGCAACTGATTGATAAGATTAACTCATTCATGTTTTTTTATCATTATCACATTTATTTATTTATTTGTTATTATTATTAAAACTTTATTTTAGAAAAGAGACAAAAAAAAGTGAGAAAATTAGGAATCTAAAAGTTTTCAAGCAGTGCTCTGACATGATTATTGAAAGGTATTATGCAAAAATTAAAACAACATTCCGGAAAATTTGCAAAATGAAGTTAGTTAAGACCGGCGATCCATGTCAAATATTTTCAATTCACCAAGGAATACAACTTGTTTTAACTATTCATCTCAGATTTTAAAATCAATCAGCCTAAAATGGTTATTTTTGTTAGTTTAAATGAAATACAATAGGTTACCGATCGCAGACTCCTAAAATGTTCCAAGTGATAAAAATTTTTTGACCTTTCTTTGAAAAAAAAAAAAAAAAAATGGAAAAAACAAAATGTTTGATTTGCTTTACAATACGAACTGAAATTATCCATTAATTTTAAATAAACGAAACAATTCGAACTTTTCCAACCGGTCAGTAAGAGATCGGGGGAAAAAAGTGAATATTGATGCATATCCTTATTTACTTATATCATTCTGCAAAATCTTATATTAGAATTCTACTTATTAATAACACAAGAATCTTAACATTGTAAATATTTGAACTTTCCAATTATTTCCGCAATGGTTTTATGTAATTATTTCTTGGTTATTTCACGGCAAAAGAAGACTAATTTTTCTAATTTATAAATTAATGATTTTCGCTTGAATGATTTCTATAAGATTAATTGAAAGATAGTTGAATGATTATAAAATAATAGATCAAGGATGATATTATTGTAATCATTATTTCTAGATGATGAGCAACAATGGTTTGATAAATGTTTGAATGACAGACAGTTAGATATTAGCAGAGTTTTGTTGTACAATTTTGATTCTAATGGAAAGAACTACTTTTTTCTGTCCATTTGAAGATGTTTACATTTCATATCTTTTGATTTCTCTTATATTAAAGAAAATTCACCAATTGAATGGAAATGCGAAGCCTTATTGATGTAGCTGCATTAAACAATGCCCGCTTTCCTGAAGCTTTGGATGAGTAGTGCTATTTTGGAAAGCAATGCTTACAATTCAATACAATTCAATTATTCCATAAATGCAAAATAAAACAATTCTTGTATAAATGTCATCAAATCTTTCAGTGCAGGACGTTCGGCTCGATAGCAATTCTGATGTATTTCAGTCATAGTGGAAATTATAAGCCATCTACTTCTTCGTCGTTGCTACTGAACATTAGAAAAGAAAAGCTGGAAGTTATATATCTTCATTTTAAATATTGCGTCAAAAATGGTTTGCTTGAGAATGGCAGAATGTTTACTTTACCGGTACGAAATGTAGGAAAGGAATTTTCTTATCATACGTGAAAAACGAGAATTACATCAATGCGTTCTGAATGAAGTGCATTAGACGAAGTAGTGAATGGTAGTAGTGTACGGAATTTGAATGGTTGATAATCTGCGTTTAAATCATCGCTTACTTGATTAAGAAAAAAAATTTCATGAAGTATCTGCTTGGTAATATTCATAAACAATTTCTTTTGTATTTAGTTTTAACCCGATTGATCAAATTAAACGATGATAGCAAAAAAAAGATTTGCTTTTGCCTTCATCGCTATTTTGTTGTTCAACATGATAATGGTAACAATTTTAATCGAATTTCAAAATTTTTCTTCTAAATTTTATGAGCTAGAATAATCTTTTTTGTATGTCAAAAAAAAGACTGAAATTGATCAGGTTAGAAGTACTGTCCGTTTAAAATGATAAATTTTTACTGATTTGTCAGTATTCATCCAATTGCTAGACTGATTTTTCCCTCCATCTAGAAGTTACTGCTTCATTTTTCTTTCATAATCAAGCCAAAAAAAAAAAAAATGTCCAACAAAACACACATTTGATAGAATAAACATCATTGATGCTGAGGAAATTTCATTGATTCTAATTTATTTCCAATCTTCCGATGTTTTCACCGACTTCATCATATTTAACGGCATATTATTATAGCCTTCATTCCAACAATCATCACCAACAACAGTGTCCTCTACGACATCAAAATCAACAACAACTGCAACAACTTCAACAGCATCATCTACGACATCAAAATCAACAACAACTGCAACAACTTCAACAGTTTCCTCTACGACATCAAAATCAACAACAACTGCAACAACTTCAACAGTTTCCTCTACGACATCAAAATCAACAACAACTGTAACAACTTCAACAGTGTCCTCTACGACATCAAAATCAACAACAACTGTAACAACTTCAACAGTGTCCTCTACGACATCAAAATCAACAACAACTGCAACAACTTCAACAGTATCATCTACGACATCAAAATCAACAACAACTGCAACAACTTCAACAGTATCATCTACGACATCAAAATCAACAACAACTGTAACAACTTCAACAGTTTCCTCTACGACATCAAAATCAACAACAACTGCAACAACTTCAACAGTATCATCTACGACATCAAAATCAACAACAACTGCAACAACTTCAACAGTGTCCTCTACGACATCAAAATCAACAACAACTGCAACAACTTCAACAGTTCCTCTACGACATCAAAATCAACAACAACTGCAACAACTTCAACAGTTCCTCTACGACATCAAAATCAACAACAACTGCAACAACTTCAACAGTTTCCTCTACGACATCAAAATCAACAACAACTGCAACAACTTCAACAGTTTCCTCTACGACATCAAAATCAACAACAACTGCAACAACTTCAACAGTATCATCTACGACATCAAAATCAACAACAACTGCAACAACTTCAACAGTGTCCTCTACGACATCAAAATCAACAACAACTGCAACAACTTCAACAGTGTCCTCTACGACATCAAAATCAACAACAACTGCAACAACTTCAACAGTGTCCTCTACGACATCAAAATCAACAACAACTGCAACAACTTCAACAGTTTCCTCTACGACATCAAAATCAACAACAACTGCAACAACTTCAACAGTATCATCTACGACATCAAAATCAACAACAACTGTAACAACTTCAACAGTTTCCTCTACGACATCAAAATCAACAACAACTGCAACAACTTCAACAGTGTCCTCTACGACATCAAAATCAACAACAACTGTAACAACTTCAACAGTTTCCTCTACGACATCAAAATCAACAACAACTGTAACAACTTCAACAGTTTCCTCTACGACATCAAAATCAACAACATCTGTAACAACTTCAACAGTTTCCTCTACGACATCAAAATCAACAACATCTGTAACAACTTCAACAGTGTCCTCTACGACATCAAAATCAACAACAACTGCAACAACTTCAACAGTGTCCTCTACTACATCAAAATCAACAACATCTGTAACAACTTCAACAGTGTCCTCTACGACAGCAACAAGTTCAACAGCATCCTCTACGAAATCAAAATCAACAACTCTAGCAGCTTCAAAAGGTGCAACTCTTGTTTCTACAGCACCACAAACGATGCTTACAGAACCTCCTTTAAGAGATGTATTAATTTCAACGATCTTGCCTTCTTTAACGGTAGCTCCAGTTCCTAAATTAGAAGCACAAAATTGGTGGTATTGGTGGTGTTGGTGGTATCCATCAAGTACTGTTTGCTTTTGGGGTGTGTGGAGTTCGAGTTACATGTATCCTTGGTATATGTAGTTTTTAGAATCCACTTAATTTTCTTCTCATAAGAGAAATGTTGAAGAGCAATGCATCAGTTGAGCGATGTTTCAGAAAGCTATTCATGGCCTTTTAGTATCACTTTAATGATTGTTATGAATTTGATCAATAAAAGTCAGTTATCAGAATTGAAAAAAGTAAGGAACATGCTTCCATTGATGTTTCTGTTAATTAATATTTGTATTCTAATTGAAGGTCTTCAGTTTTTGATTTCATGCATCGTTTTATTTGGATATTTTTTAACTCCACGGAATTTTATGAAAATGATTTTGATCAATAAATTCTGATGCAGTGATGGCAGTAAATATCTTATTTTTCAAAATTCCAATATTTTATTTTCAAAGTTGAAGACTTTGACACAAATATTCTATGCAATCTGAGTACTTTGAACTTCTGCTATTTCACATGGAACCAGATCATTACTGATGGTAATATCGCATTATATATAATTTAGGTAGTTTCAGTGATGGTAATCTTTATAGCAAATTTGGACAACAGCCGAATAATGAAAAATTTTCGTCGTGGAAGCAAATTTTTTTCGTGGAAGATTTGATAGTTTAATTATTAATTTTAGGAGAGATTTTTGATGCAGGGAGATTTGTTGTATGTAAGTGTAAATACGTAGGATAACAGAGAAATACAGCAGTTCTTTTATTGGTAGAAGTAATAGACAATACGTTGATTGAGAACAATTGAAATTGAACTCGTTTGGTTCTTGGTAACAAATTACAACATTAAAATCTTTTAACAAGAGTGATCCTTATATAGCAATTATATCTTACATTATATGTGTTAATATGTGGGAATGGTTTATAATTGTCTAGACATGATAACGAGTAACTTTAACAGTAGGTTACAATGGATATTACAAAGGAAAGTACAATGGGTTGTCTAGACATTATGATGGGTGGTTACTATTATGTTGCAATAGACATTACATGATGGTTGCTTATAGTGTGTGAATTGATATAAGATCAAAAGTCAATTAAACCATTACGATGAATTGTAAAAGACATCAATGGATTGCTATATTAAGCAATATTAAGCATTATTAACATTTATTTTATGTTTCACGATATTAACATCCGCGACAGCATTATATATAATTTAGGTAATTTTGTTCTGAACTCTCCCTTCTTGTTTAAGTAATTTGATGCTTCACAGGCAAAACTTATTGTAAAAATTTATTATTTTTGGATGATTGGTGGTAACCTTATCCAACAATTATGGTCAATAGACAAATATTGATAATTTTAAGATGGTTTCAAAGTTGATATGGGTTGAGTCGGTAGTTTAGAATTGTTAAAAAGTCAAAGTGATGATTGTCTATAAAACAAGCCTGGTAATGAATTCTAATTCCTTATATATCAGCATATTATAATGTAATCCTGTCGGATACAAAATACCTAATGTGAGTGAAAAAAGGGTCTGTGTAAAGGAAAATCTGATAACAGCATAACGACTGAAATGCAACTGGTTATCAATCAGATAGAAATATTGGTTTTCGGAAATTGAACCATTAAACATAAGCATGGCAATCAAAATAAGGATAAGAAATGACTCATCACATTAGATACTGTAACATTTATAAAATTACAATTTATGCAATGTATCACTTGAATAAAAAATGTTTGCAACGCCAGGTTGGGTTCTTAGTTCGTATTATAAATAGAATAAGCGATGACTACTTTTTTTTTATTTCCTTAGCTTCAGGATATTTCGGTATATGAAATGTGTAACTTAATTTTAATTAAATTAGAGGTTAAATAATTGTGTGTTGTCGATCATACAAAAAAATAATGTATGTTGTCGATCATACAGTTTTATTGTATTTTGCAGAAAACATTTACTGTACGGCGCTTCATTTGGTTCCGTAGCTTTCTTTCCTTCGAAGAGAACAACGTTTTGAGGAGTATTCTGTCCATTTCAACAGTATAATAATAGTGTGAATGTGTTCAACTGTTCAGTACCAACTACTCTTCGTAAAATTTGATTTGACGTTCTCAGAATGGTTTTATGTTAGAATGATACATATATACTATACCTTATAAAAACCTTTCAATTTTTATTTTATCGAGCAAAAAAGGTAAACGTTCAGCTCCACTTATCAATATCACAATTTCAGCATATTTCACCATTTTACTTCATTTTTAGTGCTTTTTTTTAACAATTCTTTTCCAACAGTTTACTACGTAAAAAGCGATTCCAAATAGTGTCAATATGGCAATATATGTAATCGCAGACCAAAACAATTCCGAAGCTGTACAATTTGAAAAATTTATATAAGAAAAGTGATAGTTACTGGACCTATCATGAATTTTAACCCTCGCTCTTGAAGTAATATGCTATATTGAATTTACAGATAATAAAGGAAATATTTACCTGTTCCACTGTCCCGTCGAAAAACGTAGACACGATAGAGAAATACAACGACAGTTAGTATAACTAATGTTATCTGCAATTTTCTTCTTATGCTGAAGCATCATTTTTTAAAACCAATCTACGAAATGGTCTTTTAATCATCATAAACAATAGTTTTGAAAGAAATAGGAAGGAAATTGAAACTGATTTCCATCCCAATTTTTTTCAAATCATTTTATTCAGATTTTTTGAAGAAAATAGCCATTTTTATCATCAACTAACAATCATCCAAATTAGTAGTAAGATGAATAGTTTTCTCTCCGTTGTTATTGCAAACACGTTCACGATTGAAACAATCAGAAGTATAATAATAAGTAGAAAATTTGGAACTGAATCTAACGTGAATCCATAATCTATCAGACCACGTATACAAATTACCATCGTTGAAACTAAGAACAGCACCAATATCACATATATCCATATCTGAAATAATGCATACTTTGAAAGCGCTTCAGATTTTGTCATATTTTACATTTGTTTGTTATTATTAAATGTCATGAAATCCTTCTTTACATCACAGACACATTATTAAAACTATATATCTCACAGAGCTGTGTTCAGGATATAAATTTTGAAAAATTTACGGTGATCGGTACGGAAAGCAATTTGTTGGTTTTTTTATCCTTTTTCACATCACCGGTATTATGACTTCTTAACATTTTCTTATTATAAAATTTCTTCTTAAAATTTTTTGTTTCTGTTTTTTAAAAAGTTTCGTAATTCAGCTTTATCGTTTAAAATTCTGCGGAGAAAGGCTTTTTCATCACAGTGATCACTGATGCAAAACGATCGCCCGCAAATAGTGTGATAAGGCAACAATTTTTCTCAATGACCAATAGGGTAATAATGAAATTAGTTAAATTAGTTCAATTTATACATTTCTTACCATTCATTTGTTATAAACAAATTGTGTTTATCGGATTTATTTGCCTTTTTTTTTTACTGTAATTCATTAATTGCTATAAAATATGCAAATTTTCAGTATATATTAATAAGAATGTTGGAATATTGTGATTTACTTTATTTGCCTATATTAACAACTGGTTCATTGGTATGGCATCCTCTTTCATTGGTAAATGCTTTCTTTTCTTCGCCACTTGACAATTCTTATCAATCTATCGGTGAAAATTTCTATCGTTATTAATTTTTTTATATGTCTGTTCATTTTACAGATAAACTGTGGATTGTAATTACTGCCATTTGTTTATTAGATACAACTGAACCAGCTGATGGCCAATTTCCATTTATGAAATCGAAAAAGCGACGTTATAAATTGATCCCGTTTTATGATGGTGATATAAAAATTAGCGATCCCAGCAAACCTGTAAGATTTTTTAAAAGATCTTGAAAAACAAGGTTTAGTTCGATTTTGTCGTATTTATTAATAGAAAGGACTGAAGTAAAAGATTACGTCCATTGCTTAATCATATCCTTCGTATTAAGTTTTGGCTTTTTGAGTTATTCCATAATCGAACAAATATTCAATTTGACTGGACAAACTAAATCAAGATATCTATTCACCTGACGATTAACAAAATCTGTTTCAGTCTAAAAATCTTAACTAAGTCTCAACTATTTTATTTGTTTTATTGCTCTAACGCAAATTGCAAATCATACAGATATAATAGAAAAATTGTATAAGTTTTTCTGGGTTCAATAACTAATTGGTTTGGAATGGAGTTCATTATCTCAGCTAATAAATCCATATGTTAAAAAAGCTTTCAACAAAAAATATTATTTTGAGTTTAATGAAATTTTGTTAAAATAATAATAAAATGATAATTCATTTATTGAGCAACAGCTCACTTAAAAACAATAATTTAAAAGTAAGTTATTGCAGTAATTGATTAATAATGCACTTCATTTATCTAATGAAAAATCGAAATAATTTTATAATATGTCAAAGTAATTTTATTTGAATATTCCTTAGACAAATATAAAACTCTTAATTTTATGCTTCATTTGTCCAACTTTCATCCTAGCTCATCTACATTGTCTAGGAAGCTACAATCTGTTGACAAAAAATATGTGCATTGCTTAATTTGCTCTCAATTTTATGTTAAGATCTTTTAGTACGACAATCAAATTTATATTCGACGGTCAAAAATAACTTCCGTTGTTGAAAAGGAAAAAATAAATTGATGAGAAACTTAAATGATTTAGCTTAAAGGGTTTAAATAAATGAGTGAGCAGTCGATATGTAGCTTGTTGATACCAAAAACTGAATGAAACAAAAGATTTCTTACTTAGTGGGCATTGGCTTATAACAAATGAATGATTACAGTGGGCAAAGAGAGTATCAAATGATCTTAACTCCTTATACGGTAAAAGGTGAATTTTAGCATTATGTTAGTTACTCAGAGAAATGACTGCTGGATTATAAAACATTTACAATATTTTGAAATTACAAATACATTTGGTTTAGAATAAAAGAGTAACTTTTAATATATTATACAATGCATATAATCTTTGTTAACAATGGATCTTTGTTAACAATGCAAAAAAAAATTAACAAATTCTAAGCAATGTAAAAAATTTTAGACTTAGTTACAATTGGAAGATGACTGTTGGATAAATGAATGCTTATATGAAATGCAATTTTATTAAGATATATACTATAATTCGGCTTTTTCCAACATATGCAAGCGGAATAAAGATATTTCTTTCAAATTTTGTTTTTTGTTTTTCATGTCACATTCTTCTCTTTTTTTATGTTCATTTGCTTTTATGAAATTTCCTTCAAGGCACTGATTCAAGATCTTTCACTACTAAGCCATGTGTTGAATAATACGGCAGACACGGTGTTTGGTTCCAAGGATATAGCTCGTGATTCATTGACATTTTTTGCCGACTTAGATCAAATTATGATGTTAGCATGTTTTTGTTTAAAGGGAAAGTAAGCATGAATAGATAATTTCGTTTTGCATTTTCGAAAGACTGAAGATAATCTCTAAAATAATAATCAGCGGTTTAAAAAATTTTTAAAAAGTTAGACAAATTTTTTGCAGGCAATGGTTATTTCTATTTCTGATATGTTCAAGCATTTTTCACATGGCTGCGTGCGTTTGCATCGGTTGCTGCGCATGCTATGTTTTCAAAAATGATATTCGAAATACACTTAAGGTGAAATTTAGAAAGCAAGAAATGAAATTCCAAAAACTGAAAAAAATTGGAAAAAATCATTTTAAAGTTGAAATTAACGACACACTAACTCTAATGAATTTTAGTTTGCAAAACGGCAAGCTAAATCACCTGATCAGACACCAGCAGCAAATGATGTAATAGGAGGGGAGTCACCCGCTGAACCTTCACCAAGAGCTTCTGTAAGTGCTGATGCACAAGCAAAAGCAATTGATGGTTGGTTTTAAATCCAGTTTTTAAGATTTAAATTATGCAGTCCACTTTTTTTCCTCTATCGCGAGCACGAGAGTTTCCCATCTTTATGCACTGCATATCAGTGAATTATGAATACACGATTGAAGATTTCTGATTTTTATCAATTATATCTAACACAAAAGTATCAAATTATCTGAAATGCTATTCTGTTTTACTTTTAGCTAATGCTACACCAAGTTGATTTCCTGACAAGTGGTATCTATGAAGAACAGTTAGTTTAAGCTATTGTTAGCTTAATTTAAATTTTGTGATCAAAATATTAGAGGATAAATAAAGAGTCCTCAAATATAAAATATTTCCATTTAAGTAGGAAGAAGAAGTTATTCATGAATTTGAAAATTGATTTTGAGCAACAAAAATTTTATTAATAAATAATAACCATATCATTAATTTCAACAATCTCTTGAAAAGAGCGAGATGCTAAGCTTACAAAATTTTGAAAGCAAATTTGGTTTCAATCAATTTTATAATTTAATTAGCAAATCTCTTAGATCTTCAGAAGATTAAAAAATAGTGAGTATTAATAAAGAAAGATTTCGAACTCGAACTTCTGAGTCAAATATTTTTCATATCGTCTATTATTTGAGAAAAATTTGTATAACAGCGAAAATAATTTCACAGAAATTATACATTTTAGAAAGGAATGAAATCAGCAAAAATATTGGTTTTTGTAATAATTTTGAATGTATGTAATATGTGTAACAAGTTTTGAATGTATGTAAGTATTGATGAATGTATTGAAGCCTAGAATTCATTTTATGATTCTTCTTTGAATGGTGGCAATGAAAAAACGATGTTTTTTTGCATCAGGTGCAGAGTGAGATCACAGAGTGAGAAATTAAACTACATTTCTAATTTTATATTTTTTTATTTTTAAGACAAAAAAAAAAAAAGAAACTGGGTATGGTAATCCAACGGTCATATTTGGTTCTTGACAAAACTAGTATAATATGAGCTACAATAAGCAGCTGACTTGCACAGAGATCAACCTAATAAAGAGCTGTTGATCTCGTTTACAATGCATTAGAGAGATAAATATAAATGGTTTCCTATATGAAATAAAACAGTTTTTGGTTTTATGAAGGTAATGCAATTTTATTTGATATAATTTGTAAGTTCTTTGGAGGTTCGCGAGATTATTTCGGTTTTCGCGACACTCATAACTGAAGGAACTGGATACTTTAGGATGATTTGATATCTTTGTTTGATCGCATCGGTTTATAGCATTTCTAGTTCGTTGAGCAACCGCAGTGGAAGCAATCAATTAAAAACAGTACAATAATCCTGCCGCGGATTTTAACATCTTGAAGCGCTAAATAAATGTTGACAATGCTTAATATAGCAATCCATTGATGTCTTTTACAGTTCATCGTAATGGTTTAATTGACTTTTGAGCTATTATTATATTTTTCATTGTACGAAACGTAGCAATACTCCGATTACATCAGGAAATGTTATCGGTTTCCGATATAAAGCATCATTTAAATTTTTCATTCCTTTACAATGAGCTCATGCGTCATAAACTATCCTCAAAATTCTTGTGGTTTTATTTGGTGTTAATACTTTGTGATGGAGTAGATAATAAATAATGCGAACCCTGTTCATTTCCGGTGACATTTTCTCGATTATATTTGAATTGAGTCGTTCTTCAGTGGTTTGATTGTTTCGATTTAGTAATTGAGGTTCCATTGAAGCCTTCTAATTAAAGACTTTAATCCTACAAAGCAAAGTCCGAAATTACCGCTTTAATTAGTTCTTCGATTCTTTCCAAGCCAACAGACTTTATATCTTTCCTTGTTTTTAATGATAGTTTGTTTAAACTGCTGCAATGCTTGTTCATCATTGTCGGCATTTGTTTCATCTTGAATGCCAATTAATTCCAATTTCCGAAAGTCCGGAATATTGAAGCATTATTAGACGAGTATAGTCTATTGATATGATTTTATTGTATTGTGTGAATCTTTACATTACAAACACAAAAGTTTCCCTTTTCTGCAATCACTTGTCGCATGTTCTATTTGTAAACATTCGAAACAAGCAGTTCGATCCCGAGTTTGAGCGTAGGATAAATGTTACATTCATTATTCCATGATCATTATTACAAAGTAAGTATGGTCTTCTCCTTTTTCCATCCATTGGATCTTTTTCATTTGTTGTTTCTCTTTGGTGAACTGATTGTGGTTAAAGCTGAAATTCCACCCTTAACATTATATTTGTTTGCTTTCTTCTCCCTTGTATCCGCTTGACTTCTAGCAACTTCTTCATTTCTTAGTACTAGTCTTGTCGGATATCTTTAATTGACCAACTCGTCGACTTTCCTTTCAATTGGTATAATTTATCCACGCTGATAATTTATTCTCAATTGAAATGTCGATATTTGAATGCTCTAAATTCTCACCTATAGCTTCTAGTTGTCGAAGTATTCTCTTTATGTCTTCTAAGTTGCTTGCCAATTTCTTTTGATGAAATTCAGTTCAATGTAAAATGGCTTCTTTATAATGATAGGTTTACCATGCTTCTTCATTAGTATGACATTGTAGTTTTCTGGTGTTATGTCGTAGCAATGCATTCCTTTTAAGACAAGATATGAAATAAGTTCAACTTTTGATTGACTGAGATGTTTTCTCTGCCTTAACTGGTGCCTTGAAACTACACTAAAATTGCCTGCACAATTTCGGCACTAATTGTTATTAGTGTTAAATGTGGAGTTTTGCTTCCGCTTGATCCGTGAGAATCATACTATTCTTTGAGAATGATTCACTGGTATCTTCTTGATTTAAATTTTCATTTAATAATCATCACTATATATTTTAAGCGTAATGATAGTTTCTCTTGTTCTAGTAATCAAGCTTAAAATACCCTTGGGTCATCTATCATATTGGTATATTTCTCCTCCTCTTCCTTTCTTTTTGTCGCGATTGTTAATTCCTGAATGATATTCAACCATTTTTGACTGGCTGTTTTCGATCAACTCAGCATAATATTCGAGATGTGTGATCTTCTCTTTGACGAACCTCGAATTTATTTCGTATTGTAGTTTGAGTTCTAGTCGCGAAGTGTTTATTCGAGAGGATTAGATTGAGTTTGGTTGCTATGATAAGAAGTTCTAGAATTCTTGATTTTGGTATTTCGGTTCCTTTAGTTATACTTGCAGTTTTTTTTGTACTAACAAATTATAGTTCGCCTGCTCTCCCACTTAAATCCTTTAAATTCCCTACAAATTTATTCATTTTCTTCATCTTATTTGTAGATACTATAGAAATTATCAGTGTATTGTTGATATAAAATAATACTTGTGTATCGTGGTTGTTCGCGAATAAAATTGTTACAGTAACCATCCATCTCAACGGACTCGTCTATACCAACTACAATAAGAAGAAAGGAAGGCTTTTGAGCATACATCTAATTCGATTCTATGCTGCAAGAGTCAGACGCTCCAAGTTTCATGAGAGCAAGCTACAATTTGGAGCACTGTCTCTCTCAGTTTTATTCATTTAAATCTTTTATTTAATTTCCCTATCAATTTACTTCTTAGTCACCTCATATTCGTAGATAGAATCTACGAAATTATTAGCATGTTATCGGTATAGATGTATATTGTGGTTGTTAGTGAATAAAATGCGTTACAGCAAATTGCTTTAAATTCAATACAACAGACCAATTCTAAAGCACAATCGAAAAAGGCCCCTTAATCTATAGTTCCTCCATACTTCTTCAAAGTTCATGAGAAATACCGATACCATTTAACATTGTCTTGCAAAACTTCTAAAGCTTTACTCGTTTGGCAAATCGCTAATATAAAATTCAGTATTGAATAGATTAACGATTGAAATGAATGATAATATTTATAATTTTTAGCAACGAATCAGCACAAGTATTCATACTTCTCGTTTATAGCGATTGAGTTGCTGGGCAAAGTGAAGGTTTGAGGATCGATTTGATGGAGTCTTGTTCATTCCTAAAACAGGGATGATTTTGCTATGTTTCAAGCAATCTCAATTTTTTCTTCTTAAAAAGCTCAAACTGTTGATTGAGCTGGAGTTACCTCTTATATAAAAGATCAGTAGTAAGATAAAATGTCATTTACACTTTTTCAAATATTTAAATGCATTCTAAAAAAAAGTATACCGTGCCATACGAGCGATTTTAGTTGCTTTGATGGCATTCAGGTAGGTAGATACCGTGAGATGCAAAAATCGACAGAAATCTGTCACAAAAAGATCAAAATCCGGATTGAATTGAATTGAATTAATAAGCTCTGATTTTGAATCTGAATGTACTAAAATTCAGTACATTTCATCATGCTAATTGAAACGACAAACAATTGTATCGTTCTCTTATTTAGGGAGCAGCGGTACGGTTACCTTTCTTATATTACATAATTATATAACAAAGCACAGTAAGTAGACAAATTATATACTATGATCATCAAGAGAGTAATAAATATCTTGATGAAAGCTTAAACAAATTTTATTACCTAATAAATCACTTTCGTCGGTTATCAAATTACCATTGATAAGTTCATCTATCTGATCTAAAATTTCTTTTCCAAACGATGTCCAAGGGCCAATTTCAAACTCCATCTGCAATCTATACTTTTATTTCAAAGATATGCAAATCTTCCTCTATTGATTCAGTTTGATAGTTCACTGAATAACAACATTGGTAGGTATTTAATTTCTTCATTAGCAACGTACATTCATTTTATGCAATGAAAATTTTACCGAATTTCATACGATAACTTACATTTCTTAATTTAACTATAGCGCGGCCTTCTAGAACTACAACAAAACGAAATGCCGGTGTATTCATGCAATATATTGGTATTGTTTCACGTTGTTTTGCTGAATAACCTATTATTCGTGGTGAGTGTGACATATCAATCTAGAAGACATTGTAGTTCAACAGAACGCAACAATACTTTTTTTTTACTAGATGTTAATTACATGGCTAGCATACAAAATCTTTACCTGTCTGATATTACTCTTGAGCAAATGAGACAAAACTTGTCGATCGACGTATTCATCACTGAAGATTACATGATGTTGTTGTAGAAAATGTATTGTCATCTGTTCCATATGCAATGATAATTTTTTGCCGTACTCTTCATTTGTTAAAAATTTAGTAAAACATGGTTCCTAAAATTAAGATCTATTCAACAAACTTTTTCGTCTAAGTGGCATATGTCTCATTATTCATAATTTCTCACTTCTTTTGAAAAATGAAATTATTAATATTATATGCTAATTAGATATGCTAATTTTTCAATGTGATTTTAGTGATTTCTTGTATACCGAGAAAGATATTAAAGAACAAAAGTTTACTATTCACCTTAACACGTTTCCTTTTTGATCTATACATATTATCAGTAACCGAATCACTTTCATCAATGATCTCCGCTTGCAAAATTTCCTCTACAATATCTTCTAGCGTTACAATACCAAGTAGATTCTTTGTCTGTTGACTTATTTTTCGATCATACATGCTTTGTACACTCTCAACAATAGCCAAATGGTAATTACCCTAGAAGTTTTAATTAATTTAATTAATTCTAAGCTAAATTTTCAATGGACTTGATCTGAAAACAAAGCATAAACAATAAAAATTTTAGAAAAGTTTCAAATTGAAATAAACTTGCTGCTTTGAATTCATCAAGCATGGAATGCAGCGGTTTGCTTGCTTCAACAAATCGCAATGGATAATGATGAAATTCGCAAATTGTTTTGACTGTGAGATTGTCACGTGGATCGATCAAAGCCAAATCCTTCACCATGAGAAGAGCTTTGATATTATTCCGATCGTCATCCTGAGCTTATTTAAAAATAGAATTGCTCTATCATTAAAGTGATAGAGAATTTACTAATGTTCACAATTGTAAGGATTTATCCAAATTCTAAGAGTGAGAAATTAGAATGAGCGAAAGTGAGTTGAATGAAGCAAATGAAATATATAAAAAAGGAATAATGTATTAAGTAAAGTAAATGACTGAGACTCATTTTAATTTGTCTCTTTTATTGACTACCTTACCTAATATGATGAAGAAAAAATGATAAAGCCATATAAAGATGAATTGAAGCATTGAACTAGAAAGTAACGAAGTAGTAAAGATGAATTATAATTATGAAATGTAAACGTGAGATAGTTAAGATTTCAAAAATAAACGGTTTCAATTAAAAATAATACATATGTATAAAATGCTCTTTCTTGCACATCGTGACAAACGAATTTTCTTCCATGAATCGTTAAAATATCTTAACTAACTGCATAGATTGGTATTCTGGAATAGCCATGTCTCAGAATTTCGAGAACTGTTGCTGTGCCCATGATTGTATCTTCAGATAACATGAATACGTCCTGTTGCATAAATGTTTGATGAGATTTGAATTTAAAATATTTTCTGAGGGTTTTGTAAGTGTGAAACATTGCAGGATAAGCCTAGATTAAAATTGTGATGCTTGTTTCAAAATAAGTCTAGATCAGAGAGAAAGTTTGCATGTTAAGCAACATCTAAAGATGTTAAAGGATAAGTAATTTCGGCTTTAATAATCAAGACAAATATTCAAATAAAAGACCTCAATTTTAGTAAGCACATCACCCACTGTTTTCTCGCTTATTTCCATAGCACCAACGGCTATTTTCAAATCAGCTGCTAACTCCTGATTCTCTTCGCATGCAGTCATTTTCATTAAATTTATCAGCCTTAATTATTTCATTCAATTAATGGTAATGTTATAATAATTCATTTCAAGATAACAAATAATAAAAACTCTTTCTAAATTTAGTGATATGAAATAATATATGAATTTTTGCTTACTATTAGAGATAAAAATGATAACTGCAAGGTATTTTAATGTGACGAAATTCAAAATAAATAATTGCATAAAAACAGATACTGGCTTAGATTTAGAAAAGTACCAAGCATTCTCTTCACAAGTAAAATTATTGGAAACATTACTTACTTGCATCGATCATATACCGGGGTATCTTCACCTAAGAAAACATCTAGAATTTTGCTAATCGGATAAGAGAAAGGAAATGTGAGAATCATAAATGTCCGCGTCAACCATATTGTGTATGCACCAACTGCTAGGCCTTTCCTAACAAGTTTATTTTATACTATTATCTTGATAAAAATTTAAATAAAACAACATTTAGGATCTTTCAAATGTTCTCATTCGTTTCTTCGGAAATCTTCTGATAATATTGGGCATTATGACAAATTGTAAACAATTTTTTTCAATCAAAATCTATAGCTTTAATGTTTATTTATAATCATTAGAAAATTTTTAAAAGAGATAATATTAAATTTTAATTTTTTTGATCCTTTTAATTATTTTATATTAATTTTTGTTTTTGTCTTAATATTATTAAAATATATATTATTGGCTATTTATACTTGAACAATATCTGGATTATCTTACAAATATTATTGGCTATTTATACTTGAACAATATCTGGATTATCTTACAAACGACACATTTCTACAATATCTTTCATTTTCAACATCCACCCACTTCTTTTTGTATATAATACTAAATATAAAATTGCATTCGTAAATTATGTTTAATGGCTCTATAATAACGCTTGATCCGCATTTACAGATTAATGTTAGGAATTCAAGAAGTTTGCAGCAATAGCTTTAATTTCATCAGTAGTTTTAATTCTTCATCAAAAGTTAGTGAATCCATTTGCCTCACTGCTCGATAATTGCTCCATAATTCATTATTCCACCAAATTTACAACAAGCTCACCAAATTAATACCACTTGCCATGAACTGTTTTGATTGCTTCGAAAAATATTTTCCGCATCAATCACTACCAAGTAATTACTAGTATCCGATTATTTCCTTAACTGCTCTTAAATCACAACAGCCTATACATGTTTTTTCTATTTTCTTTACTGCAAAAATTAGTGTATCTTGATTAAATCTAATTTTAAAGGATAAATATTTTTACCGGTTTTCATAATTGATGCAATCCAGCAATTTCAAAAAAATAAGTTGATGAATTTTTTTTTACACATACATTTGTATACATTTATCGTTCTAGTTGAATGAACTATGAAATTGTTTTTTATCAAAGAGCTAAATGTTGAAATTAGAATTTCAGGAGAATTATGTTTCAAACTGTAGCTATTTGTATCTCTTCCGTCTCCTATCTCATTAAGACTGTTTCAAATATTGATACCTCATATTTGAGGATAAAATAACAAATTAGGAATCTACTATATATAAAACTAACTTAACACAGATACTTTGTGGAATGATTTCGCCAATGACAACAATTCCAACGGATGAAACAATAAATGCAATCATTCCACTTGTCATATCTTCGAATAATATTGAAATGGCTGCATTCACCACCACATTCATAATTAATATTGTACATAACAGATAGTTACCTGATTGTCGTACCGGCAGTATGATTTCTGCATATTTCCGTTCCATTTTTGAGCCTCAATTAAAAGTGATATTTTCCTGAACTAGGAATAACTGGTCAGTAAATTACATGATATTACAATTACAATATTTCTTGGATTAAATAGACATCTCACCCAATAAGTTAACAAATTATTTAAAAAGATATCTTTTGCTTAGTTAAGATTTTTGAGAAAGATATTAATAACCTTTTATATGTTTTATAATTAAACTACCTTAAGAAAAGACAATGCATCCAGTTTAATTCAATAATTTATAGCATCAACTTCAAGTTTGTGCAAAAAGTGACCAGGAATTGAAAATGAAATTACTTATATTTTTCTTCTCCTAAGCGCTCCGGTTTGATAAATTTTTAATGAGAATATGCAATCACTAATGTTTTAAGAAAGTAGCAATTTATATCAAAATAGAGGCACTTATTAACGCCTTAAAATAATTCCAATTTGATAAAAAAAAAATAATTCCCTAAACAAAGCTGAGTTGCAAATTACCACATTTTTGTATTAACATCAGTTCTTGAGGTGAAAGAGCCATAAGGCCCAGGTTAAGGCCTGAAAATAAAGCAGAGAGACAGAAGAGCATAAAAATAATACTGATTTGCAGGTATATAGGTAGATAATATATGCGAGCTGGTGCTTCCGTAACTATTGAATTACGCGATTCATCCATCTAAACTGTTGATAATTTTCAAAAAAATGAGCAAATTTGTTGAACATTAGAAGAGGAATCAGCAGAAATTAAACTATCTAAATAAAAATTGTATATTACTGTTACCAAGTTAATCTGACAGTTAAACCAATTTATAGAAGAACATCCTAGCTTCTTCTATAAGCTGTAGAATAACTTCTTTATTTGTTTCACATATTGATGGTAAAGTAACAATATGAAAAAATGGACCAAATTTAAAATATCCGTACCATAATCATATCTTCTTCTTCTCTTGATTCCTTCCTGCTCATCCGTTCCTTATAGCAAATGTGATATGGTTCGTCTGACCTAAAATTTAAAATTATTTTCAAACCATTCTGAAACTTTAGGAAAATTTTCAGACTATAATACATTATCATTAATCAGAAAATATATACAAAAACAGCACAAAATTTTCATAATCATCGAATTAGAAGAAAATCGATTGAACATACTTAGCGAAATATGCAACAAAATCAAGTCGTTTGACAGTTTGAATGAGAAATTCAGGACGAGAAATGTTTACCACCGAATTAAAGCAATTGCCTGTTGTAAGTGATATGATACCGATTTTATCAAGATGATAACCGAACATTACAATACGTGCTCGTGAATCTGGATAAATTATTGTAGCACCTGATTCTCTAAAAAAATAAAAATCGACTTCACAACAAAATAATTACATCAGTCTGTTGTTATTTTGTTGATATTTCCAATTAAAAATTCTCTCTAAAATTGTCGACACATTAGGAATTATTGAAACTTACGAATAGCTTATTAAACTATTTTTGCTTGGCATGCTGATAACTCGTATGCCCGAAACATAGGGTCTTACTTCATATGTTACAAATTCAATTTCAATTTCCTGGAATAAAAGGATTGTTAGAACGAAAAAAAAAGCGAATAAAATAAAGAGGAAACAAGTGAAACAAAAAAAAAAAAAGAATTATTGATTAATGAAATTATTATGCTTAATGTAAACTGAAAGTGAGTCAGCATCTATTCAAACAGAAAGCAATTCTTACAAACAAAAAAGAAAAAAACGACCTGATGTTTAGGGAGGGAATCGATATTTGATCCTTTTATACCAAGCTTGAGGAAAGCAATTGAGATAATTGTGAATGCTATTATAATAGCAGCCATTTTCGAGCAAATGATTTGAATGGTAAAAATGAATTGTTTAATCAAATCAATAATCTATCTGAATTTTAAATAGTAATTCAGTGAATTTGGATAGTAGAAGTCAACAATAGGTTGTCAAGAATTATTGATTACAATTAAATTATCACTTTTTGGAAGAACTCTAATAATTTATGTAGATAATAGATAAATAAGCGGCATAAACTCACATACATCAACAGAAATATTTTTAATGGTACTATTAATCATTTTAAAGTTTTTAGTTAAATTAATGGCTGAGAAGGTGAACTAATGGTTAATAAATAATACTTCATTTCTGCCTAAATCAATAGCATACACTAGACTAGGAGTAAAATACTATTCCTGATTTGCAGGTTTCCTAAAAATTATGAAAATTTATTTCTGTAATTTTGCTATTTTAAACAATCGCGGCTAGTGGGAAATGTGCTTTAAATTGCATCATTTTTTGATCTTTCTGTGCAGCGTTTATTAGAATGAAATAAAATGTCTACAAAAAACTAATATGTATCCAAACAGGCCAAATAAATTATTAATGATATACAAAAAAGTAAATGCCATAATTATAAATCAATGTGATAAATGATTGAAGAATCAAAATCATCTAACGAAAAATCGATTTTATTATCAGCAAAGTGAAACAAAAAAAGTGAATACTCTTGTATTCATTTTTTCTAACACCATTTAAAACATTAAACGAAAAATTTTGATGCTGAATTTAAGAATATAATTGATAAAAACATCCTACGTTCCATAATTTGCAGAAAAAAGTTCGAATGCAATCAAATATTAGTCAATGATGCTATGATGAACAAATATGAAATCATAATGTTGAACCATTTTCTTGTTCGGACTTAATTTATTGTCTTCCAATCGAACATTATCAGTTCAAATATAATGGCTATGAATTTATGGGTGGTAAAAAAATACTCCTTTATCTCTTCCGCAAAAAAACTCTTGAAATTTCACAAATTATAGCAACGCTTCCAAAATGATTTGAACTTAGAGACGCTATTGCTAAGGGTAATTGTTCAATTTATCAATTAAAAGTAAATATTTGTGCTGAAGAATAAATATCGATTAGTAGCGAGGAAGCGGAATGTCGTTTTATTTTACTCTGAATCAAATATTCCTTACTAATATTGTAGAAAACGGAAGTTTAGTTCATAAAATTAATACTTTTTCCGGAGAAACTTGAAATTTTTTAAAAATGAGAACCACAGATATTTGAAATGAAGGCAAAAATCAAATGCACCGCCCACCTCCCAACGCTTACTGTCATCGGTGTTGTCATTTCGGAGTGTTGTTGGTATATAACAGGCTGCTGCTGTCATTTTCCATCTTATCGACAAGAAGACGTTATGCACATCACATCGATATAAATTGCAAACCGATGGACCGTCTTATTTTTCATCCAAAAAAGAACCAGTTTTTAAATAGACCAATAAATGAATGCGGAAAATGAATAATAATGAACTTTTCAAGCAAAAACTTTTTGATTTTTCAAAATTTCACAGAAATTTCATGAATCCTCTAACTTGAAATATTCAAGGATATAAAACCCTGGATGAAGCCAGAAAATAAGCGGAGTGCCGTCATTAAATGCAAACGAAAATTCGTGGTCAAGGAAGGAATTGCGATTCAAAAATCAACTGTTATAAAGAAAATATACAACACTTTATGCATAATATCTCAAAACATTTACTTATCTATAACATTCCCTTCTATTAGATAAATTTTCATCCAACAAATCATTGCTAAAACAATGACTGACAATGCAATTTTTTTTTTGAATTTTTGACTGAATGATAACCATCAAATAGTTTGACAGTAAGAAGAGCATCAATACTTGTGTAAACAATTTGCATATAACTTTGGAGACTGGTTAAGGATACATTATGAAAAAAGAAGTCAAATTTACAACTGATTGAGAAAACTTGGGAAAACCATATCATTAGGAGAAAATATATTTAAATTTGAACAGATATAAGAATAAGAAAAACGATACTGATATGTATTGTCAAGCTATATGTGTATGTGAATTTCAAACGGCATCACTACACGACTGATTAACATTGCGCCAAATTTTTCAATTTGATCAAATTATTATTCTTTAACTGATTACAACTTATTATTATTATTGCTCATCATTTTTTTGTGGAATTAGTATAATTAATAATAATAAAGAAAGAAAAAGGTTAATAGGAACTCAATACTTCCTTCCATGAACTAAAGCCCTTATAGTTCCACGTCAAATTTTAATTCTTTGTAACCATTAATTTCTGTCTATCAGAACAGGAATTAGTAGTTACAAACACGATAATTAATGCAGGTGATGACATTTCCAGATTTTTGCCTGACAACTTGATTACAAATTATACTTTGATGGAGAATACTAATGTCTTGATTGTAATAGCTTATGGTCTATGGCTGCAGCGAAACGCTTCCGTAACACCATCTCTGAATAAACCGATTTCCCTGCAAATAATGCAAATTGAAAAAAATTACCGAAATAACATCATATTGAATGAACAGCATAACTATATATTATGCAAGGAAAGTTATAGTGTATTGTAATTATTAATGCGACGTCAATTTCAGCCAATCTATGAATCGTTTTTTAAAAATATCAGGAATATTTGTTTGAATATGCGCTTATTTCTCTTATTAACAAGTGTTATCCAGAAACTGTCAAAAATATTTGCTAGAATTCCTTTATTAGGATTTTTCATTACAGAAATATTCTTCAACAGTAAGCAATGATTTTTATGTTAATGACGCAACTATTCTGAGAGAGGCATATGAAAGAAACAGTGCTAATCATTTACTTAAACTTCTTTCTGTAATTCGAGCTGCCATACTACTATAACAAATTTATAGGAAAATTTAGGATAATCAAACTGAAAAAATCTTTTAAAAGTTATTTTGGAACAAAGTGTTAAATTTAAAAATTGTAGTTAAAAGAGAAAAGTCTTTTAGACAACAAGATATAGTAGATACTTGTAAGCTCCAGACTCAAACTGTCAGAAAAAATGAATATAATATATCAAAATAAATTTGTATTAAATCCATAACTCCGAAAATTGTCGTATTTAAATAATACTTAGATAAGTGTTTCATTTAGGAAATCCTTTACCCAATACTTATTCGCACTGTCTGTAATCTTATAGTTTGTAACAAAGAACACGTGCACTGCTTAATATGTTGAAAATTGTTACCAATTTTCTTGTCATTGTCTTCGAGCCCAACAGTCAGATTCAGACTGTCAGCTCTCTATTCAACTAGAGAAAGCCTTTGTTTTAAACCAAATCTACTTGCAGTTTCTGAGAATTGTAGGAGTCTTGCAATATGACATTCACTCTTATTGATATGTTAAAATCTAATGTTTACGGCACAAAGAGTAAGGATGATCTGATAGAAACAGCTCTTTAGCCACGACAATCATGCGCTTTGTTGTAAACCACTTCTACTCTACATATAGATTAAAGGAGATAGAAGGTAAGATGGTGGGCTACGATCGCTCCTCTTTGTTTGTTCGTTTTCTCTGCTCTTGCAGCTACTTTCTAAATTTTTCTAATGATGTTAAATAACTTCGATCCGATATTCTTTGTCCCATTAAATATTTAAAAAGGATTCCAACTGCAAAGTAATTCCTATAAAATATTTGAATTAGAACCTATTTTCAACTCTGGACTATTCTAAAGTTAAAACTATGCGTCATTCGACACATAAGAAAAATGATATTCAACGCCCCTTGAACAAGAGAACCATATCAGCTATCAGGGGGTTGAGGTGGGTTCTGGATGCAAGTATATTTCTCAATGCAGATAATGGTTGCAGATGGTGATTACGGAGAAGTTTTTTGTTGAGAATTTACTGTAAAATATTGAATAAGTCGAACTTTTAAATAATTTTATGAAAAGCTTTCTTAAGAGTTGTTGCATGTGGACTTAGCATAATGATTATTCGATTAGATAGTTGTAAACCATATATAATTACATATGTCGTAAAACGCGACATGTGAAGTTTAAATAAGTTATGTCAACACGAAGAATGAATTTAATAGATTGACCTTCAAGATGGAAAATAGCATAAACATCCTGCAGCTTTTTCTTAACATTCTGCAGAATATTCTGTACTTGTTTGACTCGATGTAAGATTCGACGGAGTCGTCGCGACTGCTTTCCATTTTTCAGATCTTTTTCCAGAACCTATAATTATCACAGTGTATTGTATATGACTTTAGAGTACACTGTATCTCTTTTTATCAGCTTCCTAGTGATCAATCTTATCAATGACCTGTAAACGAAATCGCAGAGCTGGTAAACGAAGCCAATGTCGTAATGTGGTCCATTTATTGAAATCCTGCTGTATTCGGTATTTGTCCCAACGTGAACTGAGGATGGTCAGCTTCTTCCGGAACTGCTCTAATGATAACGAATTTTGATCCTCATTCAGAAACTGCAATTTAACGGAATTTTATTACTAATTTTATTCAAAAATGCTTTTATTCGAAAGCCTTATTTTTATGAAAACATTTAATCGACTAATATAAATGACCAACTGGTCATTTTTACTTTACATGCTTGACTGTCTTTTTACCTTTTTGTATTGTCATTATAATATTACCCTAACAAACATTTAATTCAAAGTAATTCGTCTTGAAAGTGAACGCACAGATTAATAAAATATTCAAGAATAAAATTTAAATCACACCTCTTCAGTATCTCGCTTCAACGTGAAACCATCGATAGCGGTATTTTGCCACGATTCTGGTTGCATCATTGTCAAGGTATTCTTTACTTCCCGGACCACAGTTGCTTCGCACTAAAATTATTTTCTATTTTATAAAACCTCAACAACTTCCTTTTTCCACTATTTGTCAAATTCTATTTAATTATTCAGTGTTTTTCTAACATTAAACATCACCTTATCTTCGTCTTCAATAAGCTTAGCCCGTTCAGTTACTATTTTTCGACCGCCACTTTGAAGTTTCCATTCTGCTGCACAAATGTAACAAGGCTGGAATTTCAGAAGAGTGTTTTTTATTGCAAATTTGGTTCAATTTTTTAGAAAAATCACCTTATCATGAATGCAACTGAGCTCATCAAATTGAAGTGATTACTCGACGGATGAGAATAGCAATGTCAGAAAAAGTTCAATTCTTGTACTTGTAACAGAAATAATCTGTAGATTACATATACTTCTCATCTACTAAATTATAAACCTCACTTTTTCCACTTGCACTTTTCATGTTTTTCGGACATGGCAATTTAAGAATCGTTTTCAGAAAAAAACTCTTACCACGTCATCCATAAGTAATTCATGCTTTTTGCGCAATAGCACAGCATCAACAGTTCTCGAAATCCACAAAATTACGGAAAGCAACAAATGCAACCGTATCATAGATTTCATTTATGAATTGAAGTGATCTGCAGAACATTTGTCTCACCTCTGATCTCTAACGAAAGAAATTAAGTACAAAAATAAATCTCTGAGAGTCAGTAAATCGTACAAAATCAATAAATGGAATTCTTTGAATATCTGCTACAGGTGGAAAATAATTCGAGAATATAAAATGGATTTGCTAATAGATAGAAAACCAATTTCTACAGCAAACAACAAGAAGCCTTTGTTTAGATATCTTTGTTTAAATAATAATAATAATAAATTCAGTAATACTTAGTTGGAGGAAAAGCGTATCATTCCGAAATATTCATTGCATAATTAAATCATTTTCATTAATATCAGGTATTTAACCTATAATATTTAAAATACAGATTATAAGCCAAGCTGAAATCTAAAAATCATGATAATCATATGCATTGATTATTGGAAAAAAGCACATCATTTCAATTTCAATCTGTGAACCGTTCAATCTAACTTGGAGGACGGTCTAGCCTACAGCAGTTAATATTTTATGAAAAGGCATCTTTTTGGTTCATTCAAAACTTCAGATTATATGTCTCAAAGTGTTGGACGTAGCACATTTATTCCCACATCGTTTAAGTTAATTAAATTATAAGATTGACAAGTTATAAATTCATATGCAAAGACTAGAATGAGATAAAGTTTTTGATATCTTTCAGTCCATTTGCTTCTGATTTTTGCTAAATCTTTGTAAGTTACTGAAAATGACCGCTTATAGTGAACAGGTTTATACTCAATAACAAGTTAAACGGAAAAATCAGATGACGAGATAATCTACCGTATAATTTAGATTTCTGAACTATCATCGTATTCATTTCAATCCTCAACAGTTTTCATTTTTCACTTAATCTCTTGGTAAAAGAATCAGTTACTGGAAAATTTGCATACTTCTTTTTCCCTGACATTTAATGGAATTGAACGCAAATGCAAGCAGATTATAAGATAGTGACAGTTTACTTAAAGGAAAATGCACAAATATAATAGTGGAATTGATGAAGTGAAAGAATATAGTAGCAACTAAGAGAGTGGGGAATACAAAGTTTTGTGCCTAGACAACATTCTTATTCCCGGACTACATTGAACACGTCTGTTGTTCAAAAAAATACACCGCATTTTTGCACTTCTACTTTTTTATACCCAACATTAGTCTATTAAAGTGCATCTTATTTTAAAGTACATCTTCCTTAATCTCTATCTGATAAACTGAAATGTGGAACCGATATTCAAAACAAAACCTATTTTATTGATATTTCATACAACTGCAAAAATCATTTTGTGTATAACTGATAACTGATTATTGTGAAAATATATGAGCGCAATAGACAATTCTAACAAAGCAATTTGTCAGTATCACTTGAATTGACTGAATTGAAAACTGACCATAAATACCACAGATAACAAATGATGAGTAGTGAAAGAGAATTCCTAATCTGAATATCTACATTTCTTAAAGACTAAAATGGCAGTCTTCAGCATATTTGCTTATTTCCTTATCTTTAATAGTGAAAATACATTGTACCATTACAGCCTGTCATATTTAACTTTTGCTGAGTGATGAAGACATCAGTTACGAGCTAGTTCCGGCACAAGTACTTTTATTCTTTCTGGAATGCAGTCCACGAATTCCTACAAGTTTAGTATATAATAATCTGAACTGGAACTTCATTTTGAGAATTGAACTTGAAAAACTTGAAATGGAAATTGAAAACTTGAGCTACTTCGAACTTTGAAAGATAATAAAACTATACAAGTAATATATAAAATAAAACGAACCTGATGATTTATCCAATGTGCTGTTGCTAGCACGCCACTATTGTTCGGTATTTGCGCATCTGCACCATAATATAAATCATTTCCTGAGATATCAGTAAGTTTGCCACCTAAAGAATCGCATATCGATTTTATTTAAAGTTTTACGAATTTCTACCAAGCAGCTTAATTCCAACACAGAGAGTTATTTAACCTAACATTTTCATTTTAAAAAAAGGAAGCAATAAACCTGATGCAGTAATTATTGCTTCTGGAGCACACGTATCCCATTTTTTACAACCAGGACTAGGAAAAACATAAGCAGCAGCACCTTCTAAACATTTTAAGACCTAAAAAAATATCAACTTTGACATCATAGGAAAACAATCACTATTAATTTTGGTGAATATCATTACTGATTTTCCCACAAAAAAATATCAGCAGAGGTAATGGAAAAAGTACATATATCTTGCAATGCAGGTTACCCACTGGATAAACTTCACTTTCAACAAAGATAGGCTCCTCTACTGTGAAGTGTATAATAACAAAGTCTAGATTAGGCATAACAGAAATATTATAATTACGCTGAAAGGATATGAATTATCTGAATAACGTGCCTTAAACCCGGCTCCACCAACAAATTCAACATCGTTAATTAAATTTTTTTCCTTCAAGATATTTAGTGTGTCATGAATATGAACAGTGGAATGACTTCGTGTTGTAACAGCATATCGTTGTGAATTGCCTGTAATAAAGGAATTATAGTGGAAAATACAATGTATTAAAGAGCAACTTGAAAACTGTATATTTTACTAGACAACTAAAGAAACGCCAAAAAATATATTACGAAACGAAATGAAATAAGAATTAAGTTATGTCACAACAAAAGAAGCTATTCTTTATACAAAAATTTTCTAAGAATTTCAGCTATAAAATTTTGCACATATTTTTGGAAGTGGTAGAACTATTTTAAATAGCACTTTTTACAATTTCCACGCCATGAACGCCTGTTTCTTTAATTGCCCAAACTGTACGGCCTACCGCACTGGTTCCCCAAAAAGGCTGATGTATAACACCAGCCACTGGCCGTCCTTGATATGATATGCCAATAAGTACGGTCACTTCTTGCTGTTGAGCTGCAAAATGAACACAATGTTTCCATATCATCTGACATGATACAATTTTCTTTTAGCTTTCCAGTCATCAAACCAATACAAAAATAAGACTAAATGAATGAGGATGCAAGCAAGATTTTTTTTTTTGAATAATGAAAAAAAATTATACATTTGGCAGTGGAAATAAAACCTACATATATTGCCCTCAGCTGCAACTAATTCATAGGTTCCATCCAAAGGATCCACCCAAACAACTACCTACAAAATTGCTATGGTTGGAACAAAAACTGTACCGAAAAACATCCACGCAAATAAAACTAAACGCAATTCGATTCAATTTTTTTCTGCATGAAACATTATGGCGAATATACTACTGACATAATATTTAAAATAAAACTTCAAAATAGTGATATCACAAAACACACATCATCCGACGTTATCTGGCGCACTTCATCACTGCACTTACTGTCATGCACCAAAACGCTGGAATCAAAATTATTTACCACACTCGTTCCCATCGGTTCAGTGTTCTGTAAAGTAGGCAACAATCCAAAAGAATTACCTTAATGTTTTTGATTTCAGTGATCTTCACGTCATCAGAGATATCGAGACCGCTTAAAAGATCAGTGTAATTTGAGTTACTGCAGGCCCCATCTCATTTCATTAATTTATAATTCTATATTTTTTGTTCAGCATTCAGCTAAAAGCGGAACCTGGGCAAGAGACAAATCACATAAATTATCTTTGCTGATTTTCTTTTTTTTTTTTTTTTTTTTTTTTGTTTTAATATCTGTTTTGCTAAAGAGAATTTGGATGCAGAGATTCATATGTGTAAAAACATAAATTCTCGTTCAAGAGTGAGGTATGTCCGGCAAGAGATCTTTTTCTGCCTAGGGAAATTTTTTTTTTTTTTCGGAGAAATGAAAGGCAATAAAAATTGCTATCAAGATGAGCAATTAAACATAAAAATATGAAGCTGAAACTGACTGCTTACCTCTTCACCAATAACTTTTAGATTATTCCCAAAATGCTTGTGTAATGATGAAATAATACAATCTTCCGCAGCAATATCCGCATCTGTGTATAAATCTCGTAAATTAACAGGTCCTTTATAATATGATTTACCAGTGCCACTGAAAGCCCATTCCTACAAATAAAATGTTTATCTCCTACATGATTCTCTTCAGTTACTGCTAAAAAGTACCTATCAGTGATAAAAAGGTAAACTGCTGATGGCACAACTCGCAAAAAATAACTCTAATAACGTGTCTTTAAATGTCATTGGAATTTTCAATGAATTAAACCTAATTAATGTTATGTAATGTGATTATGTCAAGAGTCGCAGAATTGAAAAGCACAAATTCTCGACAATAATATATGTCAAACAAATCCATTACGATCTACAAATTGACAAAAAAACAGCATGAATAAAAGCTGTAGCAGAAGATTGGGCAAATCTCTTTAAAAAAAAAAAAACCATAGAAAGCTATTTATGTCAAAAGTGGCAAAAGTTGATATGAATTAACGTGAAAGGCAGAAATCTGGCAGAATTCTATTGGCAAAGCTAACCTTGATAATATTGCCGGCTCGCTGAGCAACACTTACTGACAATGCAACTAACTGAGTTATAAAACACGAATTCTTGAACATTTCTTGCTTCCCTTTCAAATCCATGACATTACTTGCCATGTGAGGGAATTCTAGATCACTGATAAAGAAGTACAAAATTGAGGTTAAGAAACACGGAATATGAAAGATAAAAGACAAGGAAGGTAACTCCGAATCTTGTTCCTCACAAACCACCGCTAACGTTAAGATACGCTTTTCGATAACTGTGACCGAGACCTCAAATCAATGAACCGTAAACTACGGCACGGTCCACTGTATTCTATCGCAACGGAGTAGTAGTGTGGGACAGGCGAATGTTTCTAGTGATTAATTAGCAAAATAAGTGAGCCTACCCTAAACCTCCGAAAGTCTTCAAATGATTCTGTTTTTCTTCTATTTTTAGGGAACATTTAGATTGTGGACAAAGCGTTAAACAGCATTATTATTTGTTTAAATTTACTAGTATTTCCTTTTCTGAATGACTTCTAGCTTTAACGTGTAAACAGTTGCAATGACTTATTTCGACGGAAGCAACCGATTATTACTTAGGAATAAGCCCACCTATTATTATCTAGAAATCGCTCAAAGCTGTAATTAATTTGCTTAGGTGTTCGGATTTTTCGGATCGTGCCTTTAGTGATACCAAACAGACCTTTACGTTTTACATAATGGTTTGTTGGGTGTCACAAAAGCAGGATTTTTTCATTGTTTTTCCTTTAGACATTAAAGAATTACAATAAATCTCTACTTTTTAGCATATCTTGCAAGAAACTCCGCTGTGAAATTATGTTATAAGCCTGGTAGATAAATTCCTTTTCCAGAAGTCATGAATTCGGAAGGGTGAAATCTCACTCCAGTTTTCCATCGCTCCCTAAGAGAGTATATTATAAAAATCGATTGCTGGTTATTTCGAAGAATTTATAGTATGGAACACAAAAATATACTAGTGGCCGACATCGAATAACTTATTCCAGCTGATTTAACGAGATAAAGTTGCCACAGAAAGCCACTTTTCATCTACCGAATTCATCGTGCTCCTTATCGCTTTTTTCATGTCATCAAATTTGAATTTATCACAATTTATAGGTCGGTACTTCCCCTCCGAATCAAATTAGCTCTATATTGGAAATTTTGTTCCTTTCCTGAAGAATGTTATTTCTGATTTTTTTGGTGTCTCCGAACTTATAGTTCAATACTTTTATACTTTGTTTCAACTAGCATATGACTAATTTCTATACATTTTTGCAGTAAGCATTTCGAGCATATTACGAGAAAACTTTTGGATTCGAATTTTTTAAATCAAGTGCATAACCATCAAAAAATGAAAACTTTTCAAAAATGTCTTTTCAAAAAGATATTTTTTAAACAAATTAACATTTGTATACAGATTATGTAATCATTACAGTGAAAACTGCCTAAGATGCACACAGCTGTAAACCTATTTCTATAAGAACAAAAAACCATGAATTTTTCAAAATCTTGCATACTTCCAAAAATAAATGGACCGGTCGATTCCTGAAGTATACTTTAACGAGTCAATAAACAAATTGTGACTGAGGAGCATTAAAAGTATAATTAGATATCTTACAGCGATCTTTCGCATCATAAATGCTCGTGACACAGAAAAATTGCAATAATCTGGTGTCGCTAATAAGTATTACATAAATTTCTGATACATTAGGCTTCATTTTTTACTGCATTTCCAACTTTTGATTGCACAAATGAATTGTTTGTCCCACAAAATTTTAAATCAGTTGAGGTCATTTGAACTGGTTACTTATTAACTCACCATAGGCAAACTATCACACCTTATTTTCCAGACGGTCATTAGCGAAGTACTGCAATCGCCAACACAATTCATTGAGAGACGGACACTATTAGCCTTAAAAATATTTCTGCCAAAAACATTCGCAAAATTCTTATAGAATAAATAGTTTCTCAGGTTGTTTAAAACTTCAACTGATAAAAAACCTTTATTTAGTATGAATAATGGATGAAGGATTATTTCTATCTCCAAAATCTGTCCCATTCTCCAAAAAGAAGTACGAATATCAGTTTTAGTGTCTTGACTACAATATTTCATAATTATAAAATGAACCTCAATCGATTCAAAAGTATTGAAACACGCTTTTATCCCATGAATGCTTTTTGAAAGAAAAGATTTGTACGAAGTACCTGGTATATAATGTACCAACCCTTCATCATTTTTTCTCCAGAAAGAAGCAAGATTGAAATTACAGCAACAAAAGTAAGAAGTTTTTCTATTAGTGATCTTCGTAGCTTACATAACTGAAATTTGGAAAAATGCTCAAGAACCGTAATGGATAGATTATCGAGCAAAATACTAACGTTACAGTGAACTGAAACTGTTATCAGCATTAGAAAATAGTAAAAACAATAAGACCAACCTTTGCCTACATCTCTTTCTAAACACTTCCTTTTTCGCATATTTCGCTCTTTTTTAAGTTCATCCACACTTAGCATAGTTTAATCTTTCACACATAAGATTCATCTCATCATTCGATACCCCAAGGTTTAGCTTGACTACATCAAACAAAAAAGACTGATAAAGGATTTGGTAACAAAAAATTTATAACAAAACAACTAGTCCTTCTAGTTAATATTAACGTCAGACAGCTATACCTATCTGCATATGGCGCAATAACGAACATAATCTACTGAAACCGTCACTCGAAATGGTCTGTGCACGATTCTAAACTACAAATTTAGTTTTCATTACTTAAATAAGCTACACTTATTACACGTCGGTATTTAATACGACACATAAAATAAAATCACAAAAAAGCCTTAACATAAACATTACAGAATGTCACCAAAATGAGGCTTATTAAAGTAGTTATTACAATGTAATTTATGGAAGAAACAAATGTCATCCTTCTCTTTAATGTTGATAGTTGCCCATTAATGAGTAACAGAAATGCAGAATTTGTAAAAGAGTAAAATTTAATTCAACTAATAATTTATTTCCTTAACTTCTCAGTTTCATTCCTGCCATGGTAAATATCTGGCACATGAATAATATCGGCCGGGTTCGCTGAAACAAAATAACGAACAGAAAATGCATCCTGAAAACTACTGAGATAATAAATTAGCATGCTGAATTTGTGAAAAAAAATTTTTAGAAGGCTTAAAGGTGATTTTAATCTTTATTCTCTTTACTCCATACTCCGTAATTATGCACTAGATCTTTACAGACTAAATGAAAACTACGTTGCATCTAAAAAATGAGAGCATGACAGGACAACTATGACTTTTCCGGATTGCTACGTTCGTTATTGCTCGAAGTAAGAATAGGCATGAGCAATTTTGACAATAAATTGCCAAATCTTTGTTGCTGTTCACATTCCTATAGAAACTGCATGCAAATGATAAGCAAATAACTCAAAGCAAATCAAGTTTAATTCTTCGCCTATAAAACATGATACATCATGAATGCAGCAGCATGAGTGTAAGGTATAAACCTGGAAACTTGTACAGTTAAGGCAAATAACTCGGAAACACATATCTCAAAAATCTAAGCTAAGGAGAAAAGGAATTATCAAGAAACCAGACTTCCCCCAGCACAACAATGAATTCTTGTCATTCAGACAAAACAAAAATAGAAATACAAGTCAGGCGTAATGTGGCTTTCCATTCAGTGACGAGATTCTGTATTGCTAATATAGCACTCAATCTAAAAAACTGAAATCATAATAATGATTTGAAAACAATAATGTAAAAAATAACTGGGAAAAGAAATAACCTAAGTTCAGTAGGGTTTTATGCTATCAAAATTCATTCTTCAAAACAAGCAAATTGCGTAAAATACATTACACAAAAAACACTAGATAAATATCTCAAACAGCGTCCAACTAAAATAAAAAAAAAAGGAATTTAAATTAGAATAGCCAGCTTTTATGCAGTATAAGTTATTCTCCACGAGTTAACACCAGTCCGTGACTGAAATCTCGTGCACATAAAAGCATATGCTTGAATATCTAAGGAAATATATTTCTGAAGAACTTCCAAATATTTAGTGAAATGGTTGAAGAATTTGTCAAGTTTTTCGACAGATTTACTGAACGAAGGCAAAGTAGCAGCCACAGTATATATGATATCGTTACAAACCAATGTATTGTTGCATTCCTAGTTCCTTTTGATTTATGATATTCTTTGATGAAAAGTGATATGGTATGAGATACCAAGATTCACTGCATATTACACACTGTAATGTCCCCTCATTTGAAAATGTTTCATTTGCTCAAAATAATATAGGACAAATAGTGGAATAACCATTAATGCTTTACATACTTCTGACATACATCTCATATTTTTCGCATCTTTTATATACTTCTCATTTTTTGAATGTGGATCTTAGTGAATTATGATGCAAAAAAACCTTGAAACTTATAAAAGGATTGATGATAAAGGAGACCGTTTACAGCACTGAGTTCGCTGCTATATTTTCTTCTCTATTGATAAGCAAAGAACTACAGCTAGAGAAAACGGCAATTATTGCAACTCTGATTAAAATTAACTTGTAATACAAAGTAAACAAATATTGAATTTTATTCAGAATGAGATGATGAACTAGATGATTTCGAGCATTTCCGAGATTTTTTCCGAAGAGATTCACCATCACTACTGTTGCTTCGTTTCGATTCTTGTTGTTCATCTCTGAAAATTATGAATGGTATAGTAAAAATTAAGTTTACAACCGGAATTACTAAATCTAAAAACGGAAACTCCAATAGAAAAAAATCTGAAAACATGTTAGCTTGGCAAGGAGTAGCAATAGTTTAAACTCCAGTACGTGAGCGAAAACTCACCAGTAGACATGAATTGAGTAGTAAAAAACACCTAAGATAAAACAAACAATTCTTTAAAAAAAATAAGATGATCCCCAGCTTCGTGACCATGCTTCTGGAATCTCTCTTTCAACAAACAAAGAGGAAAAAACAGTACCTTTCCCTATCCGTATCGATTATCTCAACATCCATGCTTTCTTTTCTCGGTCCATTACGTGCCAAAACTTTTTCCATCAGTCTTTCCCTCATAGCGGTTTCATCTGAAGCTGTTATCTGTTCTGGGTGATCTACTTCCATGCTTTCGCCCTAGAAAAATTTTAAATCATATTAAGAAAAAAGCTACATTCCATCTAAAAAAAGCTTACTTCACTCTGAGGTCTTCGTAAGACAATTCCGCACGAAAATACAGTTAATCAGACCTATTCTGCAAACTAAATAAACGTATCTTAAACGCAAAATCTTTATTCTAAAAGATCTATATAACTAACAGCAGAAGCAGTCTACATCGGACAACCATAACATACTATTAGGCTTAAAAATCCTTGAGATATAAGAGAAATATATCTTCTGATTAAACTAACATGTTCGATCTGCAGTTTCACTTCAGCTTTAATTGAACTACTCTTGCTGTCAGTTTTTCGACTACTCCTTTCACGTTCTTTCTCTTTGCGCGAACTTTTCTTCCCCTTATCATGATCCTTTTCTTCTTTCTTATCACTTTTTTCACTTCGATTAGTTTTTTCCTTATCTCTTCGACTGTTACTTTCACGATCCTTTTCCTTCCTATCCTGAAAAAGGAAATTGAAGTATTAAAAAACACCCCTTTTTATAAGACTTCAAGAACTTATTTCTAATCTTCTTTGATATAAATCGCAAAAGTATAAACCTTATCCTTATCACGTTCACGTCTGTCATCCTTCTTGTGCGGTGTGCGACTTTTACTTCGTTTTCGTTCCTTCTTCTCTCTTTCTTTCTCGCGTCGTTCCTATAAAGTCACCCATGCCAACATTTCATATATTTACAATTGTATAATTGTATAACAAAGTTTTTTTTTGAAATGACTTCACCTTTTCTTTATCTTTCTCTTTCCTATCTTTTGAACGTGAAAGTCTTCGATGACGAGAATGAGAACGTCTACGATGTTCGCTATAATAAATACAGAAAGGTTATAAACTTCAGACGTTCAACTGGTTTCAATCTTTAAACAATATAATTAAGAAATCACTGTTTTAACTCAATTCCTTGTTATCTGAATTTAAGAAATTGTTATCTGCGAGGTCCATATAAATAGTACAAACAAAAAATAAACGTCAAGGAGAAACAAAAATCAAACTTCTTTGCATTACGTCGATCTTTAGACCTTCTTCGTATAAATTTTCTAGTATTTTGCATTACAGATTAACAAAAGAAGACAAGAAAAAAAAAAATACCGCGATCTACTGCGTGATCGTCGATCTTTAGACTTGCTCCGATGTCGACGGCGTGATCTAAACAACTGGTATAGCACCTGGTAATTGAAGAAGAATAAATCACGGTAAAATCTCAGATATAGTTTAAACATACTTTGACCGTGATCGAGAGCGTCGACGTCTGCTTGAACTACGACTTCGATGACGTCGAGGGGACCCAGATCGTCGCAAAGGAGAGTAACTTCGGTCCATTCCTAAAAGAATTCACCAATAAAAAGACGTTATTTATTTTCTCTTTCAAATTGATTTTAGTTAGCAAAACCGATAAGTTCTACACTGCACAAAACACTATTCAAGAAGTCAAATTAAGAAATATAACATCAAAAAATATAAACCAGTGATCCACATCTGGGGAAAACAAAAGTTACCCAATCCTTGGTTCAGCTTACTGAGGGCATTAGCGGATTTATCTGGATTTTGATTGACCCGAATGGCTTCTTCGACCTCTTGCAAGGCCATGTCTGCCGTCTTTCTTTCCGGTTTAATTATAGCAACCCGAGAATGTTGTATGCTAAAAATCATTTGAATATTTCGAAAATTTTGAAGGATTACAGAGCAACTAAACGGAACGATTCAGTGTAAACAAAAGTAATTCAGAGATAAAATTTAGCGCCTTTTATCTTCTTTTGAAGTTGTGACTCATCAATGATTAACTGAAAACTAAACTGAGAATATAAACGCAATAGTCTGGTAAATAACACCATGCATTTATTTAGAAATTCAGATATCTGAATGAAAATACGTAAAATATTTAAAGAATCAAACGATAGTAGAACGAACCGTAAACAGCGACCCTTAAATTCGATGCCATTATTTTGTAGTGCAATTGGGACTGTTGGTTGATTGGTAAACTCGATGTATGCATACGCACACGGCAAATTTTCAGTGCCGGATGTCATCCGAAGATACATTACCTTAAAACTCAGTTATTGATTTACGAATCAGTGAAAGAAAAACTCACAATCTGCTGTACAAGATATTTCCAACGACCAGAAAAGCAAAGAAATAGGAACATCTTTTCAGAAAATGGAAAACGGGATTTAGTTACAACTTGCAAATGCATGTATCTAGAAGACAACCACCTTTAGAATTAAGGATTTGAAATTTCAAATTCCGTTCAGCTATCAGATATAAGAAATTGTTTTCATATCAGGATGGGAAGAGTGGAAATTTTGAAACATTTTTTGCTGTTTCTGCAAGCAGCCAGCTTATTCAAATTATATTCTGGATAAAACGAATAAAATAAAAATCGCAAGCATATCATTTCTTTTATACCACAGTGACTCCAAGATCACGTGACTATTTCTTTTTTCCTTTCTACACATAACAGCGATTTAAAAATCCGACAGAATACCTAATTATCATAAAATGATGAAGCCACTTATTTCGCTTATTCCTACAACTCAAATTTTGCATTTTCAGATAACAACAAGACTCTAACTGCTATTAAAAATGAATTCTGCATAAAATAAATAATATAAAATATAAAATTGTTGAACTCAATCTTGAAATGTAATCATTTCTTATATTTAAGTCACAGAGTCACGGTTTCACAGCATTTTGAGGATGACACGTGAAGCTGGAAGTGGAACAGAGGCTACCTCATCATTTTTCACTTGTTCAAACGATAAATTTCTGTTAAGCACGCGATCAGAGAGAGCTGAAAAGTCTTAACTTTCCTTAAGCATATTTCAATTTACTTTTTTGGAAGTTTCAAATTTTCTATGAAGTTAGAAAAATCTAGGCCATGTTCGTTGTAAACTTTTTTGCACTGTTGAATGAATATTATCAAAACCTCAAACATTTTGCAGGCAAATGTCTTCTGTGCGAAAGCTAAACTGTAGAATATGCCTGGAAGAAGACAACGAATCAAACTTAATTTCACCATGTGAATGTCGTGGTTCTCTGCAATTTGTACATACACGATGTTTGCAACACTGGTTTGATGTCATGCACACGCGAGTAAGTTAATATTATACACAAATTACTGGAAACCGTTAACTTAATGACTTCTCAAAAGCAAAGGAGATAGAGAAAAAAAACTTAAAATGTAGTCATTTTTATTTTCAAACTATTGAACCATGTTTCACAACACTATTAGGATGACACAAACCTGAAAAGGAAATGAAAGCTATCTCATCACTTTTCGTTTGTTCAGATATTGACTTTTTCTTAAACGCATGATCAGAGTGCTTCCCAAAGTTTTAGTTATCCTTGGGAAAAAACTTACGAAAAAAGGAAAGGTAATTTTATAATCTACTTATAAAGCTAATGCTCTAATTATTAAGCTTTGTCAAATATGTAAAACACAGTACGAACTTGAAGATTATGGAATGAAACCTTATACGGAATGGACATTGCCTCAACCACTGAGTGATGATTGGGAGGATCAACTGGATTTTAAATGCGCCCTATTTTGGCTTGTATTTATGTCACGTATTACCTACATTGTACTCAAGTCAGAACAGCTTCTACTGCTTTTTTATCTTTGCTTTCTTAACAAATAACTTATATTAAGCAACGATACACTTATCTGTTTATAGGATAAAACTTCATCATACCAATCAGTGCTAACTGAGATAAATTATGCAATAAGATTATCACTAAAGTAAAAAATTAAAATTAAGCTAAATATATTTATCATTTTTAAAACCTTAAAATTGATTAAACTGATGATTGTAGATTTTAGATTTTTCTCTTTTCAAATTTCAGACATGGTATGAGAGAAACGCGTTTGGCAGTCATTCACATTGTAGGCGGAGGTATATTTCCATCGCCATCTCTTTCTAGCATTATTTGTGGAAGTCTTACGCCTACAACTGTATGCTTTCAACATCATTTTCAGGGAAAATGTACTACATATGGCTTCTATCATTCTGCATAAACTTTGCTTACTACAGTACAGTGATTTATGCAGTCATAAAGAGATGGAAAGAGATAAATTCCATCTATGTTTGGAAAAGCAAAGGAACCAAGAAAAATAATTGATAATGCAATTAGTAAAGCTCCACACAATTTTTACTAATAAAAAACATTCCTAACATATTTTATTAAAGAATGAAATTCGAAATATTGATTCTAGAGCGTGACATAACTTTATTCTCACCAAATTCAGTATTAGTGACTGCTGCAAAAATAATCTTCAATACTATTAAATGAAGTATTTGACCGTAATCAACAGTGCACTTAAATGATTCATCTGTTACCATGTTTTCAAGTTAAATAAATTTTCGTAAAGCAAATATTTTTTTCTACAAGAATCAAAGACAAATAAAATGAACTTACTTCACCAATGCTGTCGTTGAAAAACTTCATTACTTCGTCACCAACGCAGTCTTTCGGTATATTACCAACATAAACTGTACGACGGATTTCTTCTACTTTTGAGGCTTCTGTATTCGCACTCAATGTTGGATATGGTGGTAAACCAAGCGCCGCCAATGTCGGGTCCACTGTAAGCAACTGAAAATAGCATACCAATTTAATAAGACTGAAGCAAAAATTTGGGATTATATCTTTGAATTTCATTTTCACCAGCTCATAACGATATAAATCAAACGAAGCTTTTTTCGAACTCACAAGCAAAAATTTTTGTTTTGCATGTATGCATGCGGTACATTATACCAAATATAAAGTAGATAATAACAAAAAAAAACTGTTTGAAGTGGAAGAATGTTATGAGCTGTGGGTGATACTTGATTTTTTTTTTTTTTTTTTTTCATGTAGAACTAAAAATATAGACATATGTTTGCTCAGAACAAGGGTCGTCTTGGCGCTGAGATGCCACGGAGGACCCACCAAATTCTGACTTCGGTATTGCACAATCTGTATTTGTACATGTTCACAATTCAATCACTCTATACCAAATTACTGAAACAAAATTTAAATGAATAGGACAGCTGCTGCTGGATCTTTTTGTTAAAGCAATGTCCATGAAGTTGAACTGAATCCAGAAAGAACGGCCAGAGAATTCCAACCAGCAAAATGCGATGTTTCTTCGCTACTGTGATTTTTTTTCGAACCTTCAAAAATTTACAGCTTCTCTCAAATCAGCGAAACGCATGTCATAGGATGGACAAGCTATATTCTTAGACATTGCCTAAGAATACGGTAAACCAGATGAGTTTATAAATTATCACAGTAAAGGTTGCTGATGGGATTATAAATGCTGACCCATCAGTTCAATTCACTTTTTTGTCCATTTAAACCTCAAAATATCCCATATCTATCACTTGGTAAAACAGACCCTCTAGTGTCTTAACTGATAACTAAATCAGAGATCTTAAGCGACAAAACAGCAATAAGCGTTTCAACGGCGAGCTGTAATCGATAAAGCTGAAACAAATGAAACACATATTATAGCTCAAGGTCTGTTTCGTTAGAACTTAACATAAATATCGCCAAATTCAAAATACAGATGAACTGGGAAGTTATTTTATCCTCAAATATTTACCTTTATCCTCTCCCTTCCCACATCGGTCAGTCGTTGTCTAAAGAAAATGATTTTAATTTAATAATTTGATATAATCAAAAATAACCATTTGCTGCCCATCTCCTAAATCCTTGACTTGATTAACAACATTCGGTGGTAACTGACGTTGTCCTGGCCACGCCGGCCCACCTGTTTTCAGTGCTGTATCTTCATCCGGTATTGTATCTGCAAAGATATACTTACATATTTATTTGAAAAAATATATTTTTAAAAAATTAAAAAAAAGAATACGTTCATTTTTAGCATTAAATTAATATGTTCTATCATTATAAAACAGCAAATTTGGCCTTATATACGTCAAATAATTATCATTAGCCCAAAAATCTATGAATGAACTGTTAAGATCAATTTCGAGTAATCATATTTATAGCTCAGCAATAGTAGAAACAATACAACAATTCACTAGTTTCTCAAGCATGCCCGCATCACATGGAAAGAAGGAAACAATTAACAGATTCGGAGAGATTAAACACCACTGAACCTGATATAGATGGGATACAAACAAGAGCACGATCGATAAAAACAGTGTTCGTCAAATGCTGCGCCACTTCTACTGATTTCTGATCTTCAAATTTAACGTACGCAAATTTCTGAGTAAATGTCGATAATTGTGGATGATTATCAGAAGGATAAATCTGAACGAATTAATTATTACTGAACAAACAACGAAGAAACTATCCGCGATAAACACTTCCTTTCTATCAGAAATCAATTACGCGATAAATAATAAGGCACTCTTCGTCCTATCACTTTTTCCATTCCCATAGAAAATTAGACTCTGGCATCAGTAAAGATAAGACTAAATTGTAAAGGCGAAGACTATGAACATATATAACCATAAATAACTAGAGCAAATAATTTTTTTGTATGACAGAAAATTGAAACCCATAGAGAATTTCCTATTAATGTGACGATGGGTCTTACCTTAAATTCGTCAATTCGTCCAATAAAAGCGAAAAGCTGATATATCTGTTCACGCGTTGCTGTCATCGAGATGTTGCTAACGTGTAGCACACGAAATCGTGGTTCATCGGTGCCCATTGCTGCAACGAAATTTATTCCTTTTTTAAAACATCAAACACACAACATGACCATAAATGAAAAAGGACGATTAAGAATAGCATCACAATTCCTTCAGTGAACAAAATTACAAGCAAAAATTCGGCTTCTGTTCCTCCAGAATTATCTGAAAGTTTTACGCTTGAACTCCTTCATACCAAAGGTAACTTTTCAAAAGAAGCTATATAGCCAAATAAAATATGCATGGAAGTGTAGTACAGAGAAGAATGATTCTAGTACAAATGTATAGATTTCCAGGAATACGGCAGAAAAAACATATATGAGAGGTGCGTTTATGCAGCGGAACACTGTAGTAATGTAGTTCACTATAGTAATTACAGGTATTTTGGGGTAAATCTGCTAAAAGGAGATTGTATTATCACAAAATGCATCGCTTCCGAATTACTGCACTTACTATACCATAAATATTTGCCAATTTAAGATTTCTTAAGATTAATCAAGATAAAGTTTAATAAGTCCTCCTCGTAGTACACTTAAAGTAATTAAACTAACTAGGCAACTGCAGAAACCAGAATACAGAATGTAGATTAATATAAAAATGATAGGATATAGAAAAAAAAGGAACGAAACAGCTATAAGAGAAAGATACACAGCTGAGAAGTAAGACCAAAATGCTAAACTACAACATCCACTTCAATTAAATAGCATAAGTTCACGAAGGTACGTCTACACTATCCAAGTACGTCCCCAAATAACCTTTCCAGTCGTTGCCTCGTACTTCACGGTTTGCACCTTCGCCAGGACATTGTGCAATGAAATGATGTCCACAGAAGATTAAAGTGTATATTAAGATGTTATCGTACTACATTGTGACATATTTTGTTGTACCGTATTATCATTTATGTTGCTAATGATGTTTATTCATCTTATGCACAACTGTCACATTTTAAAATTTGCATCTTTTATCACTAATTCATAAGCAAAAAGGAAAGAATAAGCCACGGTTATGCTTTTTTTTGTACTTCCGTTGAGCAGTTCACTTGTTAATAATGTCAGGTAAAATTTCAATTCCGGTGGCTTGTCTTTTTGTGAACGTGATATAAAAATTGAAAACCTGCTTTGCATGTCATTCGAAAAACTTACTGCAGGTTATTGAGGAATAAATATTTCCACAACTTAATAAGAAGAATGGCTAACATTGGAAAGTAAGAAGTAACAACAAGTATTGCCCGTCGCATATCTTCATTAATTACGTTAAATTTTATAATCTGCTTTATTTCAGAAGAAAATGCTTTAAAAGAAAAGAAAGGTTTGACAGAGGAAGAGTTGAAAAAATTGCGGGCTCGTTTTAAAAGAAGACAAAATAAATTTGCAGCAATAAAGTATGGATATAAGAAAATTTAATTTTTTGAATCCTTGAAGTTCTGCAATATTTAATTTCCGAAGAGTTTGCATACAATATACTCACATGGAGTAATACTCGATTTAGTGATAATGACTCATAGATTACTCACATTATTGATATTGATCACTGATTAAAAAAATATAACTGAGCTGATGTTTGAAGGAAAGAAATGTCACAATAAGTTTTGCTGTGGTGCGATATCAGCTGAACTTTTTTGACTAATTTCAGGGGTCAAACACAAATAAGAATCGCTGCTGGTATCATGCCTCACATGTATGCCCTTTGGAATGTTTCCAAATTTGAAATTTATCAACTAATTCAAATCTCATGAAGTATAAAAAAGGATAAATAAAACAAAACAACTTGATGTGCACGCTATTTCCATGATACGTATAAATGCTCTAAAATTGTTTTTCGCTTGATACTGGGAAATAACTGAGACAATTCGATGTAATATATAAGAAATTTCAGTGCTGTTCTTTCGCCGCGTTGTGCTGAAGAAGAAGCGTTCGAAAAGGTCGATGTAGACATCAATCCGATAATCACTGAGACAAATAAAGGGTTTTACTTTTCAAGACAAGTAGATTTCAGAAGAGGGACCCTACCAAGTTTATAAACATTCTGATATAACAACTTTGTTTTCATCCTATTATCGTCTAATATTTCTCGCAACGCATTCTCAATTACTTTATTATTCAGAAAAATTGATACCGAAAACTGGTTCTGAAAACTAATCTTGCAAGAAACTGTATTGTAAACTCTGTTGTTTCATATAGCTAAAGTACAATTAGACGAGAAATCATTCACTGCATCTCTCCTACATAGTTCCCCACCACTATTTGCGGGTCAAGAACCTACGAATGAATTTTGCTCGCTCTTGAAGCATAACACAACAGCTGTTTGACTGCATTTTGCATGGCGAAAATCGAAATGTCTTAGATGGGAAATGTAGTGGATAACTTACTAAAAGGCATCTCTCAATTTTTTAGTTGCTATACCATTACTTTCAGGCTGTTTTCGATGCAAGAACATTCCAATTTAGCCAGCGTTAGTATTCTGGATGTCCAGTTTTTCAAAAGAATTTTTAATAAATAATACAAAATCCATATCTGCTTGTTATTTCCAAAATTAACATAAAATTTCGATCTTAGTTTGAATACTCCGATTCTAGTTATTTTAGGTAAATGAAGCAATACCACAGAAGAGGTTATTGATAAATGAATATTCCACAAACATGCTCCCAGTTTCCTAAATTCAGTTCGATGAGTCTAGTAGGCTGTGAATGACTAAGTTTATTTTCTTGTGTCCTAATCTCTATTGCATGTGCAAGTTACCGTTTTGAATACCATTGAGGTGCGGGAACAAGGATGGATTTATCTCTGAACTCAAAGTTAAAAATCAAAAGATATGTTATATAAAACTTGAAAGATATATTGTATATTAACCAGTGAAACTCAAACTAGCGATAGTTCTTCTTAATTACTGTATAAATTTTTTATAGTTCACACAAAGTTCAGGTTAATAATCTCATCATCATTGTTCCCATAACAATTATTGTTTTCTTTTTTTCTTTTTACATTACAGAAAGAAAAATGCGCTTTTGAACAAAAGTACCTTATTAGAACGAAAGAGTGCACATAGATCAAAAAATGAAGATGCATACACAACAAGGAGTTCAGAAACATTTTCACAACAAAGTTGCTTGAATAGCTCAACCAAAGCAAACAGAGTTAGTCAAAGCGGATCAACCTCTTCAACAGCAAATTCTATAAACAAGTTAAGAGCAACGCAGAAAAGCAAGGAAACTAAAAAGAAGTGTTCTGAAACGAATTCATCTCTAGAATTCAAAATTGGTAAGGTAAAGAGCATCAAATCTAGGCCAAATACGCTAAAAAACAAAGTTAAAGTAGGTATGGGAAGAAAAAAAATGCAGAATGATAAGGGGACAAGGATGAAAAAAGAAGATCACGTAGAGTTTAGAGCTTGTCCAAAAAAGTTGAAATTATTAAAAAATCATAAAAAAAAAGCGAGTATAGAGGATGTAAAAGAAACAAAACAAGTGAAATATGGAATGACAGAAAGCGAAAAGAAAAACCGGAAGGATAGAAATGTGGTACCGAATGAAAAGGTAGCAGGACATAAATTAAAGTCGGAAACGTCAAATTTCAGTTCAGTTGAGGTATTCGATTTTTGCATACTTAATAAATTTCTTTTATGTTTATAAGACTGGTTAATTATGTGAACTTATTCTAATATTGTAAGGCGAACTGAGGAAGTAACAACAACTGTCAGTTCCTTTCCTGAATTTATAGATACCTCAAAATTTATAAATTTTACTTCGATCTAGATCTGTGAAACTTAATTTTTCATAGTTAATATAAGCTGTTCTGAAAATTTCAAGAAGTAATTTCCAAAACAACAAACAACTCTCATGTGAAAGTGATAAACTAATTTGGAAATCTGTGCATTCTTACTTTACTGAGAAAAAGATAGAAATTGAAAAGATATTGTGAACGAAAGCAAGATATGTATATTAAACATTTATGAATTCCGTAAATTCAATTTAGGGGAATTAGTTGGATTAAGATTATAACGAAGTGATATTGATTTTCAGTCATCGATTAAAGCAGAATTACTGCCAGCAAATACTTTTTCGGGTAAGTACTGCGCTACATGTTTTTAATATTTTTAAAAGCTGTGATTTCAGGAATTTCCAGGGGCATTGTTAGCGTACCTAATCATGGTTTTGCTTTAATTTTCAACATTTATTAATGTTAATAATTATAATCTAGAAGAATATCCACAAAGCACACAGGATATTAATTTGCTGCTAAAACCGATTGAAATGACAAAAAAAGATCAATCACTGTATGAAAAAATGGACGACGAAATCGTATTGGATACAAACCTCCTGCAGTCATTGGCAACTGATTTAATAACAGAATCCAAAAAAGTGAATAAAGATGTATTAGGTCAAAAATATTTGTAAGCATATTTTTAACACAGATTCAATTTGACTCTATGTATTGATATTTTATCAAATTATATTTTATCATGTATTTATTTTATGTTCAAATTCAAAGCTACCAGAGTAATATGGATGTATTAAAGTAACATAGATGACAATTAACTAATTCATTTATTAATAGGAAATCAAGACAGGAATTTTAGGAGATGATATTGCCAAAAAATTAATTGAAATAGAGAAAAAAGATCAATCAACGATAGACCAAGACCATATTAAAGAACAAAGAGAGGTTACTTTTTCATTTCATAGTTTTTTCATCTTGAAGATAATTCTGTTTCAATCTTAAATCATTGGATTTAAGTATTTAGAATTGATTACTATGAATTTTTAATTTAGCGACAAAATCAAGCGCAAAGTTTATAAAAATTTATGCTTTTATAAGGAAATACTGATGTAGTTTTTTAATCAGGAAATTTATATCAATTACTCGATAATTCAACAGTTTACTATTTTATCAGTGCAGGTTGTAGTATCCGAAATTGCGAAAAGAATAGTAGAAGCACTAACATCCAATCAAGTCCTCGGCAAAGTACTCACACCGGAGGAAGCTGTCATTTTAAGAGATTATTTCAGTCGGAAAATACCATTAAGTGAAAAGGTTTCTCATAAATTACTATTACAAGCAGGGGTAGATAGAAGAAAGGATTGTGGAATATTTATTGACTTTCTTTCAGTTACGAGTTTTAATATTGCTATCGTGTAACGCACTTATCTTAGGTCTAAAAATCAACAAACCAACTTTTTATGAGCTTAGCTCTCAATTACTTGTCTTATAAAAATAATTTAGGTTTGTTTTTTAATATGCCAAAATCGTAAAATATATAAATAAATGATTAACTAGCATTCTATGACAGGTACTTGCAACATTGGATACAGCACTTGATAAAATTTTGCGTCGCGCACATGAATTTTACGATGACAAGAAGGAATTGGATATATTCCTAAAAGATCGAGATTCTGCAAAAACAAAAGTTCTTGATGCCCTTATCGCCAAAAAGTCAAATTATCTAGCTGATTTAATGATGGATGCCAGTTTTTATGCTGATCGAATCAGTAAAGGACTAATTGACGCTTATAAATTAGCCACCGAAGGAATTCTAAGTAAGCGTATAAAGGCAATGTTGGGAAGGGAATCAAAGAACCGGTTATCAGAATATTTCATTGAGTTCAAAGAGTTCTAATTCTGTTTAATAAGTTTATAAATTTTTTTATAAATAAATTAGCTAACTTTTATTCATTTCGTTCAAAATCACTGTTTCCAGTTGCTCGTGATAACTTACAGTACATGCAAGCTGCTGTTGGCCATACGTATCGTTATTCAAAAGACATGGCATATCGTGGTGCTGCACTGACTTACGAGACAGCCGCACGTGGTAAAGAATTAGCCGAAATTGGCGCTTCTGTAAGCACACAAATGACATATGATGCGGCAAAACTAACGTTAGACGCTGCAGTTCGTGGAAAACAGTTTGCGGAAAAGGGTGCAGCTATCGGCTCAAAAATGACATTAGATGCCGCAATTCGCGGAAAACAGCTTGCGGAACAAGGTGCAGCTATCGGCACAAAAATGACATCTGATGCGGCAAAAATGACATTAGATGCCGCAATTCGCGGAAAACAACTTGCGGAACAAGGTGCAGCTATCGGCACAAAAATGACATCTGATGCTGCAAAAATAACATACGACGTCACTAATCGCGGTAGGGGACTTGCAGGACTTGGAATAGCGATTGGTGCAAAAATGACAGAAGCTGCTGCCTCCAAAGGATTACAAATAGCAGAAGGAACAATTCACGCTGCTTCTAAAGGTTCCGCACTACATTTCTTTATATCCAAATTGCCAATTTCAATCAATATTTTCTTCAAGAACTTTTGGACATGTAAATATCTTAATAAAGCTTATATAGTATGAAATTAAGGAACGCAAATGGTGAAAGACAATCTGACAGCAGCGAACAGTACCACTCTTGATTGCTCTGAGACCGCTCTTGAAAGTGCAGTTCAAGCGACTAAACTGGTAAAAATATATGTCCATATCGTTCCTTATAGGAATTCTGATTTTTTTACAGGATGCTTTATTGTTTGAGCTATTTATATAAAAAATTTTTTTTGGCGCAATGGTTCTGTACAACTCATTTTATTTTATATATCTAGGAGAAATATCACAACACACTAGCAAAGTCTTCAATCTAGCTCAATTGACTTCAATAAACTAATATAAGCTTATTATCATGAGAAACAAAAGTTCCTCGAAGCAATAACACCCTTCGTTTCGGATTCAGAATATTTAAAATTTCCAGGAATTCTGTAAATACTGAAATTCTTTTTTTCTTTTTATATGATAGCAGGATGAATGCATCAAAAAATTTATGCCTTCGCGTTATGATAGTGCTTTATTTAAATAATGCAACTGTAAGCTTCTAATTGAGTTTTTTTTTTTTTTTTTTTTTTTTTAAAGTCTATAAGAGAAATTCATAATTGATTCATTAAAGTCGCATCATCAAAATACGTCTAATTCTATTAAAGAAACAAATGCAGCAGAAGACATAGTTCATCCTTGTTAGCTAATTTAGCTTGATTACACCCATTATAAATCGTAAACTTGATCCGTTTCAACCAACTTTTCGTTTTCTCACTAAGGGATTCAAACTTTTCTATAAATTTTGAAGAATTAGTTATCCTTTGCTAACAATAAGCAATGAATGATTTTACAAATGCAATATACGAACAAATGAAAACAAGCAAGTAGGCTGTAACGTTGAAGAATAATTTCGTCACATCCTTGACCCATTTTATTTGAATATAACTAAAGCTTCATTTGTACTGCATAAAGATAGACGAATAATATGTGGAATATCGGTAAGTTTCAGAGCACTTTGGCTGAAAGATTGAAAAACTTCTTTTTAGGTTGGTGAAAAAGTAACAAATCTTACCGGTGCAATGAATCAAGCTAGATCAGGTATACTTCCACAGTTGCTAATTTTTTATCAATAAAAACAAATCAAATATGGCCGAAATGTCCGCCACAAATTAGCATTTTCCAAAATCCTTACTGCATAATCAATCTAAATAAAATAAAAAATTCGTTGCAAATAATTTTATATTTCAGACATTCGGAAATCTAGCGAATGGATTCTATCATTTTTTCAACGGCCTGTATGTGGAACATCCGGTAAGTTTCAGAGCACAGGCTATCAACAGAGATGTTCCTTAGATCATTTTTTTACAACTGTTCTAATTTATTATTGTTGTAAAAAATAGTTGAAATTATTGATACACTAAAAAGAGTTTTTTTGAGAGGAAAAGCGCAGAATGAAGAAAAAAGATAGTCGGAAAGAATACACTCCACAATTCCATTGCTCTCGAAAAGATATTTGCACATTACATTTAGTTTCTTATTGTTTATATATATTATTTCCATAGTGCACATGCTACTAGGATACAATTAAGGACTCATCTGTTGATAGTTCTTCCATTCTTACTTTACTAGCAGTGTGAATTATAGGCACTTCAGAAGTAGAAGATACCGATAACGACTCAAGTGACGACAACAGTGATAAGAACGAAGCGAGTTTATCGGTGAATGAGAAAAGTAAAGTGGTGAATCAGTAGCAATAAAATTAACAAATATGTTTCCTACTCACAGATGTATGTGATTATTTGCGATATTAAATGGCTTGTCACATCGGGAGTCTTTGTGGTCACTCAACACCATGCAACATCTTTCTAGTTTGCAGGATCAATCCTGCATTGCTTTCAAATGTTCAGCTGTTGTGGAAAAAAATAGATAATTCTCAGATAAACTAACCAATTATTGAGAAAGAGAAAGGAACTATGCAGACGAAATATTGGTATTACCAGACACAAATAGAAAACTGCGTTGATACAGCATTGTTGCATCCCAGCCACGGCTGGACAACCGAGGACGTATTTCTGTGCGAAATGTGAAATGTAATGGTTCTCCTTTCGGCGATGTAAATCTAATAAGATAAGAAGGTCGTGGTGTTACATAGTTTTTGGTCAGTATATGGATAGAGGAGAATTACTGGGCACTTTTAATCCTCTTAAAATTGATGACTGGTATTCGTGCGTTAATAAAGAAAAATGGAATAAGTTGATGTGCAGATGAGAAGAGTTTGTATTTGTTGTCCAGTATCCCTTCAAACTTAATTTTTTTGAATTGTCTTTTTTAAATATTTTAAATCGTCATGTATGTTTTCATCTGGACCTCTTCTGTTGTAATATTTTAGTTCCAAGGATTAACTTTAGTAAATTAAGAATTACATTCAAGAAGTGTGATGGCTGTACGGTTATTTGGTCGTGCTCGTTTCGTAGACCTAGAAGAAGATGGTAATGCCGTAACAAGCCGTCAAAACACATCCTTTGTTGCGGTTGGCATCACTGCTGATAATTATTCCGTTTGTATTATTGGTAAAGTTTTTTGCTAATCAATTTTTGGTTTTGTGAAGAGAATACAGCGGAGCAAGTAGTTGTTAATATCCAAAAGCATGAGATTTGGTTACGTTAGATTTCAGATGAAGATGAGATTGAATTATGGAGGTGGCCTATTCCGATGCTAAATGTATTTCGATTAGGCACGATGATGTTAGGTTTCCTGGATCGAGAAAATGATATGAAAATTGGAAGTACAAAGATTTTATATTTTCGAAACACCAAAGGTCTGTTTATTTTAATTACAGCTAAGTAATTCATTTGTGAAGAACGATTTGCTACACTGTTTGCAAATAAGTTTACTGCTTACCTCGTATTAGTTATCTCTGAATTATTTATATTTCTTTGGAGCAAGTTTATAAACTAATTGGCCAGGAATCAGTTGTGACACATTATTAATCTTAAACGAAATTGTTTTAGTAGTACTACTATCAAGAAATTTCAGAAATATCTGAGTTTCTGACGGCTTTTAAAATGTGCCAGTCGCTAAAATCCCCACGACCGTTATCACCAGGAAATGATGCTGAAAAAGTGTCAGTATTTGATGCCCGAACCGAACATGCTTCAGCTACACAATATTTTCAGTTCTATGGGTAATTTTTTTTTTTGGAATGCGATATAATTTTTGTGTATAAGAAGTTGAAGACATTGTCATCATGGTAAAAACGGTGCTTCCAATTCTGATGAAGACATCGGGAATGAAGTAGTTTAAGAAATCACAAGGAGATGGATTTTTGATCCACAGAATTAAGAAAGGGAGAACTTTATAGGTATTTATCACAGCAGCAGAACATGATGCAAGATTATGTACGAACGTCAACATATCAACGAGCTATTCACATAAATGCGAAAGATTTCCTTGATAGGGTAAGTAAAACCTCGTAAATTCTTTTGATGGAAGTATAACTAGTTCTCTTAATTTTTTTTTTGTGTGTGTGTATAAATTCTTTCAAGGTAGTGTTGGATGTGGGAGCAGGAAGCGGTATTCTTTCATTTTTTGCAATACAGTCTGGAGCTCGTCATGTCTATGCTGTAGAAGCAAGTTCAATGGCAATACATTGTGAAGTTAGTTTCTTTTTCTTTTTTACATATATATTTGGCAGTAAATAAATAAAAACATGAGAAAAGAAGAAATGAGATACTACTTGTAAATTTTTATTTTTGTAAATTGTAAAATTTTAGGAACTCGTTCGACGTAACAATTTACTTGATAAGATAACAATTATTGCTGGACGAGTAGAAGACATCACTTTACCGGAACCTGTAGATATCATTATATCGGAACCAATGGGATACATGCTTGTAAACGAGCGAATGCTTGAAAGTTACATACACGCAAGAAAATTTCTTAAACCAGGAGGTATATTTCAAACATTCTTGACCTGTACTTTTTCCTTTCTACATACTAAACAAACTCATAAAATATTCATATAGATGCACTGCATCACTGCATTCTTCAAAAAATATCAAGCTCTAATCGCGCCACAGTTAACCTGATGGTCATTTCATCTTATATAAAGAATTTTATTGAAGCAGTTAGTTGCATATTAATCTCACATCATTCTTTTTTTTTTCATAAAAATCATTACTATGTAATAATATCTCATGCTTCCTGTTAAATTCGTGTTATATAATTAGCAGGAATGAATACCGAAGAGATGCTAGTATCGGGAGCATTAAACCATTTTGTTTGTTTGACTTGTTAATAGTTCAGGCTGTTAGCTTAGTTGATGATTATATTGCATGTATTCATGGCAATGTTCTCTTTCAATGTCAAGAAGTTGTTATGATTGTGCGTTATTACTCTTCATTTTGCAGTCATTAAAGTCGCCCTCCAAGAAAGATTTCTTTGCATTTGATGTGCAGTTATTTTTTCTTTCATTTGTTTCTATTAATTTGATAGGTAGAATGTTTCCGTCTCGAGGAGAATTACATATTGCCTTATTCAATGACGAAGCTCTTTACATTGAACAAACATCAAAAGCAAATTTTTGGTGTCAAGAAAGTTTCCATGGTGTCAATTTATCCAGTTTGCGACCTCAAGCACTTGCTGAAATATTTAAGCAGCCAGTTGTGGTAGGTGAAAGTTTATGTCTGAACGTCATGAGGTGGTCCACCATTTTTTCTTTCTAAACAAATATTGTGTATTTTATCAAGTGTCTCCCTCTTCACAGAAAGCAGTAGTGATTATTTGCTGCTGCTTATTTTCTTTTTGTTAGAATTGTTCCTTTCAGGATACGTGGCATGTAAACTGTCTAATGTCGGGAAGTGTTAAATGGACCATAGATTTCGAAAAGGATCCCGAGTCATTATTGCATAAAATCCATGTGCCATTTGAATTCCAGGTCGCGAAAGCTGGGCATATTCACGGAATCGCATCTTGGTTCGATGTCGCTTTTATTGGTTCAACGTAAATTTTCATTTTATTATGATACTGATTAAATTTCTCAATTAAAACCTAATATAATACAGAATCTTAGTACACATTTTTGCTTTTTCATTTGTTATTCCCACCAATACATTACTGAGGTTTTAAAGCTATAGTTTTACAAGTTTTGATTTAATAAAAATGGATTATCTGCGAAAACTCATGTTCTAGTCATTTCTAGGCAATTTTTTAGGGAAACAGTTTGGTTGTCTACTGCACCCACAGAACCTTTAACTCATTGGTATCAAGTTCGATGTCTGTTTGACAGACCTTTGATGGTTTATGGTGGCCAAATTGTTCGAGGTGCTATCAGAATGCTTGCTAATGAAAGGTGATCGTGTTTTGAAATCTTGTAGTAGTTTGAATATTCAGAACTTGTAGTGGAATTCAAAATATCAGTTTACTTCTTTTGTTTACGGTGGAGGAAGCATTTCATGAAAAAGTGAAGTTGGATGAAGATGAAATATGATTAGAGAGAAATAAATCAAATATAAAAATTAGGTAGATTATGTTATGAAAATTGTGCTCTACAACCATATTTCCTGATGTTTTGATTAACTGAAATGGAACATGTTAAGCACATCTTCCAGGCAGAGCTATGATGTTGAAATATGGGCAGAACTGGGACATAATCGAGTTAGCAATACATTGGATTTGAAAAATCCATTATTTCGATATACGGGCACTGCAGTCCTTCCTCCTGCCGGTTGTGCTAATGATTCTCCGTCTGACGCTCTGTTGCAGAATGCTGGTGAGAAATTTCAAACTACTAAAACATGTCGACTTTTCACTTACTTCGTGGGCCCGTTTTCGTTGAAAGTGCAGAGTTTCTCTGTATTTGCATGAAATACATTTCCACATACCATATGATTAATATTTTATAAGAGATAACAATTAAATATAGCACTAATAAATACCACATTTGATTTTTGAAAGTATTCATGCTTGAGATTTGCCTTGGATTTGAGCTGAGTACAGTATCTCGAATTTTTTGCTATTAAAAAATCGAAAGTTCAATTTAGGTATATTGTCCAATTTAACAACAGGTCAGATGGATTATGCGGTGCACAACATGATCAATGGTTTTGCTGGTGGTTACTGTAGCACTCATACAAATACAACCAATCCTGGAGCATCTGTTGTTGAACCGCCTATAGCTGTTGCTGCACAGATGATTCATACGCAAGATGTCAACCGCGATATTTTTCGGATACGTAAGTGTGAATACTTAACCATGAAATCGAACAGTGATTCGCCGAAATGTACGAATAAATCACTGATCATTTTCATTATAATGACTGCAAGAATTGAATATCCTCAACAATTCAAATTAGTGTATCGATGCTTGGTTCATACAGGATTTATGTTCCGCATGTGGAACTGTTTTTGTCGCTGTCAATTTTTGGAACATTTTAGGCCTCATATTCATGGGTATAACATTTAGTAAGGAATGGAGAGATTAAAATAAGTTTAAGAGCCAGATGTAATAGCCTAATTATGTCAGGACATTGTTTAGATATAGGATTTTTTTGGCTGGACACATCGATTATATTACTTCAAATTTCGGTTGCATACAAAACTGTTTGAAACAATATATACATTTTTTTTTCAGTCACTCAGTCACATTCTCAAATAATGCAAGGTCAAAATGTTATGCAAGCAGGGCAGTGATTTGTCTACAAATTTTTGGCGCATTTCTTCATCCTTTCAAACTTTCCGATGTTTATGCTAATTACTACTGACATTCATTTTTACTCCATTGTTGTTAGTCATTGAATTAGGACAATTTTGCATTTTTGAAAAATATAGATCTTGTTAAGAACGAAACTGGTTTGAAATTCTAAAAAGTTTTAGCACTTATTACTGCTGTCATGAATTTTTTTAAGCGGACTTAAAGTTGCACTCATTTGAAAGAGTAACAATTGAGAGGGTTTTTTTTTTTCTCGATACAATTTTCAAATAGGGAATAGGTTATGGATTTTACTGAATGATCAGAATGTGAAAGACGTATTAGTGGATCATTGCATTATACATTATATTAATGTAAAATCGTACATTATATTATTAATGTAAAACTTTTATAAACATTCTGCCATTTAGCTTTTGGAATATATATTTAAATATTATTTAGTAAATCTAAGTAAAATAAGAGGATAAAAAAAGAACTGTGAAGTGTGAAACGGATAAACAGCAAAGACTATGTTTGAAATAAGTTTAATGTTGGTGTCTTATTTTTTGAATTCATCTCTTTGTCCTCATTTTTATCCACTTAATTTGCTTAGTAGTTTGTTCCCGAACGATGACTGTTTTGTATGAGGTTTATGCTCTTGTAATTCTGTTATTTTTTAATCTCTTTTCATGACATGCAGAACTGTTGCATCATTAAATCATATTAATTATCGCATGTAAATGCCGTCAATGGACCATGATTACAGTCAATTTACTATTTTCCTGTGAATTTGACATATAGCACTCTATTATCTCAACGATTTCTGGTTGGTTTGTTTTTTATGAGGTCATGCAATCAGAATAAAGAGAAAGTGGCCATCTTTTTGTTACTGGATTCGAAATGACTCTTAAATCTTGGAATATCCAAAGAAATATTCTTGGGTTCTCACTTGCTGTACTTTCTTAGGTGAAATTGCTTAAATGTTTCAGTGTTTTTTCCGAGCTAAATACAGTGTTTTGTTTTGAAAGGCGAGTACCGCTTAATTTTATTTAATAAATCATTAAGGATGCTAATTTAATTTGACTAGTGTCATTACCATTTGAAATTTGTACCTTCTGACTATTGAAGAATTTATTGTGCAAGACTGAATTTTGGGATTAGTCTGTTTTATGTTTTCAATGGATGGTGTCACAAAAGTGGATGGATGTCACATACTATCAGTTTCACTTATTATTTTGCTTACTAGGCACACTTGAAGATAGGTGATAATTTTCTGATCTATTCACAAGAAGTTTTCCCAAAAATAACATGTTCAGGTTTATGGCTCATTTCTCAGAACGTGTGATATTTAGACTGCTGATTATTTAAGAATTTAATGAGAAAACGAAGCTGATATGCTACCAAAAATAATCTTTGTCTTTGCATGGTATTACATTAGAATAACTTGTCTAGGACGTGCAAGAGTTTTACGATCATGACTAGGAGGAATTGTAACATCAGAAGGTGAGGAATTTGAGGATGCGTGTATGGCTAGACACACAAGCGACTGTTGCCGAGTTAACAATATTTTCACACGTATTTCTATTCTTATATATTAAGATTTAAAGTTGGACGTACTATTGTGAGAATACTTTAAACTATAGTACGTCTAATTCTAGTGACTAGACTCAATGTAGAATTTTTGTTACACTTCCGATATTGGTTGCTAGCCGTCGTTTTGATGAGTTTCATTTACTATTCACGAGACTGCAACTGCATTCCGTATTGTAATTTCATATTTTGAAATGAAATGGCATCCTTACATTAGTTATCTTTCGTCCTTGCGAAGGTTCTAGAAAAAGTCGAGAATTACAAAAAATAATATTGTTCTTTACTGAACTGTCGCATTTACCAATATTCAGTCCCAGTCGCTGACAAAAACTTCCATCATCGCACTATAAATTGGTTATCATTTCTGGTGCAGTCGAGCATTCCTTAACTTCAGATTACATCAAAAGAAGACAGCAATTAAGGACAGTGGTCATAAAGGTCAAGTGATACTGACTTGGTTGCTTTGAAATGTCATAATTTCAGTACTTCTAATTAAAAGTTGCACTACTTTGCTCGCAGGTAATTCGGAAGTTTAATATCGAAGCACTTCGTAAATACAAATGAAATAATATCTTATGTGTTATATTTTATAATAATATGCCTGTTCTCTTGGGTGTGCGTTCTTCCCTAAATGCTTTCTGATTTATTCACTTATTAATAAATATGCAAATATCACTAGTGTGCTTTGTTGATCTCTACCACTGTGAAATACAAAGCAGAGTCCTTCCCTAGCCTATGAATTATTTTATTCTATTCTCAAATTCTATCCTCAATGATGTGTTCTGTCTACTTCCTTTATGGATGAGCTTCTGAATGTTAGATAGACGTTTCCATACTGTACAATGTTTTAAGTTAAAACTATTAAGAAATAAATGTCTTAACTAAAAAAGGATAAAAAATTGCCAGAATCAAGAGACCCCTGCAATTTGAAGTAATCTATAAGTAACGTGAACTTATGAGATTTGAAAGAATATCTTCAGACATCTAATTATAGACACTTCAGAAGTGCTGAAGAGATGTAACATATGTTTTGGCTTCACACTTCTGAAATCTCAGTGTAATTTTTCAGTATTGAAGATAACAAAACCATTATAATATATCATTGTAATCTCTCCTAGCCCTTCGTAGTTCATGATTTCCAAGCAAACGATCGTCATAATCATTATATTCCGTTATCGACACATTCGCATTTTTTATATGGTTCCCATTGTTCCAATCCTGAATATTTTCTATATATTGCTTCATTCCTAGTCTCCGTTCTTTAAGCAGTTTCGCTATTCTAGTACTAGTAGTTAAAATTATTAGAAAGAATAGTGCTGGATTATTATGAGAAATACTGTTGGTAAATCTCCTTTTCTAACAATAAATTTATGTGGGTAAGGTAACGAAATTGAATAACTTGAAGTAGCAGAGGCGTTTCTGCATGCTGAAAGTGGGCAGTTGATCGAAACATAACACAAGTCATTCACAGACGTTAAAATAATTAAGAATTATAGACATATTACTGTTAAAAGAAAGAGCGAACTTTGATCATGCAGTACTTTGAACTTAATGTAATCGCTGTAATCGCTTAGAAAATGAAGACTATGTAATCGCTTAGAAAATGAAGCTGTAATGAAGTAACTTTAATGAAGCCTTTACAAAAAAAAATGTAAGCAAAATTCCCTACATCATAGATTCCTTAAAATTACACCGTTGGTAATATTAGCACAGTCGTGATTTACGTATAAGTATAAGTGAACTTCCTTAATATCCCTGCGACGTTTAATTTAATGCTACTTCTTTAAATGAATTGGCAATAATATTACAATCAAATTGTAATTGTCGGATGATGAATATGTGCGTGTGAGGTTGATAGCCTTGTAGCTTTGTTAGACTGATAATATTTGTGTTGAGCATCTCAATAAAATTTTACAAAAGGGAAAAACAACGTTTGTAACTATCTTTTTATAAGCATTCTAAAATATACAAAAGAATATTACTTGGCAATCAATATTTATCACTTATTTTCTTTTTTTTTTTTTTTTGCTAATGAATTAGGTGGGATTACTGCTGGTTCGCTTTACAGCAAAATGCAAAATTCTGCATCCGTAAATTACCAATCAAATTTTCAATGGCAACTACTGATCACAGTGCACTGTATCTATCAGCCAGGCTTGGTGGATGTTGAATACGTTATAACGATCGCTCATGTATAATTTGGAAAAGAATGGATGACAAATAATTCCAGTGTTTCTTTTATACAATATCTGATCGACACATCTCTTGACATATGTTGCCTCGTAAGTAAACTTTCTGGATCAGTTACGAACCAAAGATTGTTTTTGAAACTGAAGATTCATTTACTTTAAAATTCTCATTTAATAATGTTTATTATTTACCCTATAGTTATATTCTACTACTAAAATGCATTAATTGAAAACGTTTTTGCCACAGTTCAATATTCAAAAGCTAAGAAAACAAGAAATCTTTGATATCCTTTGCTTTTTAGATGACATAAGTCCAAAATTTCAATTAACTGCAATCATTAGAAAATATTATTAGATTAAGTGCCATCGTCTGTGCACAGCTATGGTTGTAAAAATCAACTCGTTCAACTTGTTCCCATTTTTGCTTCAGTTCTTTAGCTTTGGCTTTATTAAGAAAATTAATCTTTCAAGAACTTTAGCTGCTTTAGCCTTCCGTATTTCTTGCAATTTTTGTGAATTGCTCAATATACAAACTATACAATACAATTGTCCTTTCATACAGATAGTTATAATCACTGAATCCATTTTTTTCTCGTTTAGTTTTTCTGGATTCATGTCCTTGCCATGGCCAACACATAGCGTTCAGTTATGCTATCCTCTGCCATGAAAACATAGTTTCTTTGGTTTTGGCAATTTCTTATCTGTGGCCCATTTGAAGGCAGTTTAAACACGCTTGGTTCCTCTTAAACGCTCCATTCGTTGCTTCACAGTGGACTTGACACTGGCCACCCAGTGTCCCTTATTGCAGAATGATTACAAAATGGTCTTCATTTAACTGAGTATCAATTTGGATTGCTTTTCTGAGTTTCTTTCTGAACATCGCTATCGCTTGATTCTTGCCATTTTGTTGCAACTGGGCCGAGACTTCCGGGTCGTTGATTTTTTCGTTGTTCCTTGTATTAGGCGCGAGATCGTATCTACTTATTGCGCTTGAGACTTGTCTTTTCAAACAGAAAGCAAATAGCTCAACTTATATGTGTTCGAGAGATCTTGAAGTATGCATTGCTGCCTCAGAGTTACTCCAAAATTTCCTCATTTCCGAAAGCGATAGTTAAAATTATTTTACCGTTGTTTGTGGAGTCGTTTACTCGAGGGCTTACTTCAAGTGATTCGTATGTATTTTACAGCACTTTTTTCATATGTAACCGAGATTATCAATACTT